TTTCATGGACTTTTTTCCGTTCATTCTTTTGCCTCTGTTTTTTCTACTGGTCCAACCTCTTGAAAAATAAAACTGAATTCCAACATGGACCATCCTCATTCAGTCATTACTCCTCCTCATGGATACTGTGAAAATATTTTCAATTAAGGATAAAGAAAACTTTGTAGCTACACAACTTAAGCAGTGGCCTGGACCTATCAAGAGGCACAAATGATGACCTTGAGATTGTACAAACCTCAGTTGGACCACTGCCCAGAATGCCTAAGTGAAACAATTTCAAAGAAGAAGCAACAGTGTTTGGTCCACTAGCTGCTGAGATAAATGAGAGAAAGAATTTCAAGGACTGTAAGGCCTGAGAAAATGGTTTGGATGAAAGTCAACAGTTAGAAACGGAATAACTTAAAGGTTTTAAATATAGAAATCTTGTGTGAGATCAGCCCCTGGTGGTCACCTTGACTACTACAGTTGCCAGAGTTTGGAGGGGAGGTGGCTTGATAGTGGAGTGTTCATGACACATCAGACTCACTAATGTTCCAAATGTAAGCTGACTCCAGATGGCAGACATACACCATTCTCTCTATGCAGGTCATATGATATTAATCTTTCTCTTCAGTTGCTTTCCTCCTTTGAAGAAAACAAATCCCAGAAACTTCTTAAAAGGAAAATAATCCCACGTTATCTTGCCTTTTCCCTCACTCTATCCTCACCGTGGGATTCTTCAGAACCCTCCCACAGTGTCAGGATGCAAAGCTTTCCAGGTAGAGAAGCAGGGATGAGCACTGCAGAAATGGATGTTCTGTTTGCAAAGATCTGAAGGGATTCAACGGGAGGCAAGTGGAAGGATTTGCAAGTGTGAATTTATGAAGTGTGAGAGGCAGGGCAGGATGGACGGGGCTTTTCTGTTTAGCTCACATTTCCTTCATATTCAGCATAGACAAGGGTACAGATATGTTTATCCACTTCAAAATAAACACACTGCAAGTGTGACAGTGTTCACAATGCACCTCCGAAGCAGGGAGGCAGCAGGGAGGAGTGGGGACTCTGGCCTGTGGGAAGGTCTGTGTCCTGACTCAGTGAGGCAGGCTCTCCCCAGCTCCACTGACTAGTGTGGGAAAGGAGGGCCAAGAGGGCAGGACTTTCCAGAGTTTCCAGAGAATCCCCATATTTGGATTTTAATGAGAATTTTGCTCTTTATATCTCGTTTGTTCATCCATTCTGTTTACTGAACGCCTATTATGTGCTCACCTAAACTTGAGAACAAAACAAACAAAGACACCTGCTTTATTGGAGCCTTTAATCTAATGGGGGATTAATTAAAATGACAAGATCACTTATTAAATATTTTAGATGGTAATATGTGCCATCTCCATTTTACGGAGAAAAACAATGCAGGAAAGGGGGAGGCAGAAGGTTGTAGATGTACTACAACTTTGAATGAGGTGGACAGGGAAGGTTTAACTAACAAGGTGACATTTGTGAGCTCACATAACACATAACTCGTTCATTCATTACATTAAAATACTGAGCGCTTATGATGTGTGATATATGATTCAAGGAAGTGGAAATAGACAGATGAATGAGACGGACAAATCCTTCCCTCCAGGGAAAGACCAATGACAAACAAGAAACCAAAGAGGATGTCAGATAGTATTCCTTGCAATGACAGGCATAAACCAAAGTAGTGTTGCAGAGGGTGAGTGGCTATCTGAACGAGGTAGTGGGAGGAGAGAAGGCTCAGTGATAAGGAGCCTGTCATGCAAGGGTCTGGGGAAAGGCATCAAGGTGAAGGAGTAGCAAGGGCAAGAACTCTGAGGTGGGACCAAGCTAGGCCAAGATGTCAAGCAACCAAGGAGATGACCCGGTTCATGGGAACAGAGCAGAGCACTTCTGGTATGGAAACCCATGACCAAGTCAGGCCCAGCAAAATTGTGAAGTAGAAAATGTTTACAGTGACTTTCTCCTCTTTTGTTCTAGAAACCATTTTCTGATCTCATTTAATCCCTTAGTTCTTTATCTTTCAATCTTAACAGTTGAAAAAAGATGTGATAATTCACATAGACCCCAAGATACGAAGGCTAAAAAGGGATTATTCCTTCTCAGTGTATTTACATTTAAATTACAAAATGAATTTAATTATAAAATTTGATGGATCAGTTGTTTGAGTATTGGAGTATTTTATAGTTGGGGGAGTATATAATTTCCTACCGCTTCCATAACAAATTACCACAAACGTAGTGACTTAAGTCAATACAAATTTATTACCCTCTAGTTCAGGAGATCAGAAGTACAAACTGGGCTGTGCCAAGAATCCATTTCCTTTTTCTGCTTCTAGAAGAGAAATTCCTTGGCTTGTAGTCTCCCGTCACTCTAACCTCTGCTTCTGCCATCCTATCCTGTTCTCTCTGACCCTCCTGCCTCCTCTTATGAGGACCCTGTGGTTAGGTTGAGCCCATTTAGATAATCCCAGATAATCTTCTCATTTTAAGATCCTCAATTTAATTTTAGTTGCGAAGCCTCTTTTGCCATGAAGGTAACATTTACAGGTTGTAGGGATTAGATGTGGAGCCATTATTCTTTCTACTATAGCACATGACATTCTGGGGTCTGTGAGTAAGGTCTTCAGACCCTACTAGTTTCAAGTTGCTTCTGCTCATTATTTCTGTTGAAAAAATGAGAATAAAAATATAAAAAATGAGATCTGTAGTCTTACTAAAGGGTATATTACTCAAGCCAGTTGGGTAAGTTCTCTTAAGCCAATCTGATAAAGCCAGATAGAAGACATCTCATTGCACTTGTGTATTTGAACACATTGCTGGCCTACACAGCTTCTGGGATAGGGTTTCCAACACTCTGAAGTTTCTGACCTCTCTAGAGTTTGAAAGACAAAGATATAGTGAAGCAGAAATAGCAGACACCTGAATCAGGGACCTAAAAGGATGAACATTATTATTTACCAAAAAGGTTTAATGATGTAATGACTGAGTATATGGAGCCCAGTGAACAGTTGTTTTTGGTTTTCTGATGTTTGGGGAGCAGTCCTGGTTCTGAACTTCTCACCGAAAAGGACACTTAGCCTTGTGGGTTAATTTATGAACTATATAAAATTCTGATTTCCAAATTCTCAAAGACTGGTCACTTTGTGGGAAAAGGAGGTAGCTCAGTACTTTAATAAAAATGCAGCACTCTGCGTTTTCGTAAACCAAACTCTGTTACCAGTTACTTCTCTGAAGGAATTGTTATTTGTGTTATTCCTGTTCATATAACTTTGACCCATTACCATTTCCTCTTTCAAATTTCTGATTTTTTCAGCTATTTAGTTAGAATCTTTTCTATTCCCCAAGGTCAAATTTTCAAAGGTCTGTGCCTTCTCGATTTAGCAGGCGTAAGTTTAACTCTACTATCACCTGGTTACTTTTCTGTTGTAATATGTCCACATTATATTTAATATTTGTTAAGCAAAAAAGATAAGTTTAAGATAAGTTTAACAGGCACACTCTTGCTTAATTGCTAAGATAATGGTTTTCAGAGATTTAAAAACTAATTTGTCTTAATATTCATTGTTACTTAAATTAGATCCAAGACTTTGGAAGGATATGGGCTCTTCCACACTTAGAATTGTATAAACGTTATTTTCTGGCAGATTTGTGTTGTTGGCTTTACATGAACATTATCTAAACTGGACTAGAAGGCAGTATAATGAGAGGTGGACTTGGGAAATCAAAGGATGGCTTTAGAGTAAGACAGCTCTGCCACTCCTGCCTGAGTGGTTTTGTGAGCAAGCCATATAGCCCTGCCAAGCCTCACTTTACTCTTGTATTAAATTGGGATAGTAATCAGGATAGTAATTTTCACACCGTTGTGAGGAATGAAAATCTCCTGCAAGTTAAGGGCTTAACACTTAGAAGCAAGGCAAACTATATTTGTTGAACTTATGTCTCATGGTTGGCATTCAGTTAACTTTAGCTATGCTGATGCAGGTCTGTAAACATAGGAGTCAAAGTTTCTATGTATAGTTGGCTAAAATGAGACCAATATACCTATGCAAAAGTAGTGTGTACCATGTTTTTTTGATTAATCAGATATTATGGAGTCTATGTATCTGATTCTCCAACTGTTTAGGTTTGAGTTAGGCATTTTATTTAACAAGTTCTGAGTTTATATATGTTAGTGTATAATAAAACATTTAAAACCATTGTTTAAAATTGAAAATAGTTGCGAAAATACAGAACTTGTCTCTAGTTGCTGCAAGTAACCAAAGTCATGAGATCGCTTAGGCATTGTAACAAATTCTAGAAGAAACTATTCCCAAAGACTGTCTTACTGGAGATATAGAGAGATGTGCTGGATTTCTGCCTTTAAAAAGAGGCATTGGAAGCATTTTTTTTGAGCAGAAGACACCCAGAAGCTGCATGCCAAAGGTTGGCAATGGTCGTTGTCTTATCGATTCTCTTGGGTAGCCAGACTTGTCAGTACCAGTTTAAAATGTCTGCTCCCTGAATCTCTAAATTCAAAGAATTTAAATTTTGAAGCTCAACATTATTCTTCCACAAGATACAGCTTTGATGTATGATGGCTTCTCCCTCAGTCAGGGGAAAGTATTGATTTAAATATTCTCTGCTCCTAGTCCTTCTTGGGGTGCAGGTGGTGGGGAGTCCCCATGGTGCTCACTACTCTTCCACTATTTGAAGCCAGCTATGGTCCTTTCCCAGGGTGCTTTTTCTTAGACAACTGACCCCAGTGCCTGTAACCATCTGATTTTTGGGCCACCCCCATTTCGGGGAAAGTGAGTCATCCAACAATGGCAACGCAGGCCCAAGCGACCATCATAATTCATCCAGGGACTGAAAGGTCAACACCAAGCTTGCAGACAGGAGGCGATCTCCGGAGCATCTCCCATTACCACCTCGTTGCCCCGCCCACCAGAGTTTAGGGGGCGGAACGGGCCAATCTGGAACTCCGCCCCTCCAGCCTTGCGTCACTGGCGGAAGTGACGCAATCCCAGAGCCATTTCCGGCGGGCAGAAACTAGGAAGAAACTTGGAGCCGCCAAGGCGCTCCAGCTACCAATCGCCGCCGCCGCTGCTGTGCCCTGTGGCCCGGGCCGCGCTGAGCTGTCGGGAGGCCTGACCATGGGGCAGCGCGGGCCCACCGCAGTGTGAGGCGCGGAGCCTCCCGCGGGCTCCCCTGACAGGCCGGGGACCGGCAGGCGGGAGGCGTCGTTCGGCCGCGGTCGCGGCTCCGGCCCGGGCATCATGAACATAGACGTGGAGTTCCACATCCGGCACAACTACCCCTGGAGCAAGTTGCCCGCCAACGTGAGACAGGTACGGCGGGGACCTGGGGCCGTCCCCGACCGGCTCGGCTCCGCCCCACTGTCACCTGCTCGTCCCTCCCCCGGAGCCCGCGCTGGCTTCTCTCGGTTGACTCCTGCCCTTTCCTCTGCCAGATTCTCTGGAAAACCGACTCTTGGCTCAGGAGGGGGCCATCCTTAAATGGGACGAATGGTGTTCAAAGAACTCGCCTTGTGCCTTTGCGCTGAGCCACCAGGCGCCAGGGATACCCACATTTAAAACACGGTCCTTGACCTCCACAACTTGAGGAAGATGCAGAAGGGACAGACAGAAATGAATGCGATACAAGGGATAGCAGCTCAAACGTGCCTCCATCGTAGTGTAGATCGGGAGTAAGCAATATAGTCCATGGAGCATTGCGAGGATGTGTAGAGGAGGCATTCAAATTGGGCCTCGAGAGGACCAAGAACAGTAAAAGAAGAAGGAAAAGAATTTTTTTCTAGGTAGACGGAACATCCTTTTCAAAGGCTTGTCAGTGAAAAAACAAGTCTTGAGAGTAGGGAGCAACTGAATGTCACCACAATTTGGAGTTGTTTGTATATTAATATATTTGGAGGTGGAGTTTGGTAAGAGAGTGGCAGTAGTAGCAGATGAGGCTGAAAAAAAAAAGTCAGGGACTGGTTTTGAAGGAAATTGCATGCATTGTTTTGTTGCACTTTATAGGTTAGAAGTGATGTATCAATAAGAACGACATGCGATGTTTGAGAGGCAGTGCTCAAATTTTTGAGTGGCAGTTTTACTCAGTTGTTTAACAGGTATTTATTGAGCAACTACTAGGTAGTTTGCACCAGTAAACAAGACAAAGACCTTGCTTTAATGGAGCTTATGTTTTAGCAAAGATTAAGTAAACAAATGAGTAAATACATAACACAGGAGTTGGTGTTAAATCTTATGAAGGTTGTGATAATGTGCTACCTACCTATAAGGTACTGTTTTTCTGGTTACTGTTTCTCTGATCTTCAGTTCCTCCCATTTATACTTGGTTGACAGTGACATTTTTGTTTTCTGTGGATGCTGGGCAAAAGTATTTTTGGAAAGCTTGGAATGCTGGTGGTGATAGTGAAAAAATTATTGTAGTTTACTTGCCTTCCTTCCTCTTTGGATCTAGGAAATGAGTAATTTCCTAAATCTAGGGTCTGGTGATTCATCATTTGACCAATGATTAATCTTTTTACTTTAAGACACCCAAACCTAAGAAAGTGGAAAGAGAACTTTCAGGGACTTACAAGGACAGTGGTTGACCTTTGTGGCATTCATTATCTACAAGTAGAAAAACAAAGCTCTAATTCTGAAGGAATACATTTCTCTTGTTAAATTTGTTTGAGGGCTTTAGTGGACAGTTTTGTTCTTTAGAGTTCTGTGGCATATCTGAGGATGAGTACAAGAACCATAGTCCTTGTTTTTCTTTTCTTTATTTTCATCTTTTCTCTGTTCCTGTTTTTATCAAAATAAGTATAACATTATTAAAGATACGTGATTAGATTTTGACTAGCATGAATAATTGATTTTAATTAGTATTGGCAGAAGGTTTTTGAAACCTTACTTATGTTTATTAAAAAACAATCACAGGACAGTGTTAAAATTAGGCCCAAATCTGAAATTACACTGTGGTCTGTCCTTGTCCCTGCACTGCCCCCTCTCCCCCCATGAAATTACTTAAAACATGTAAGCTGTTTTAGCTTAGTATAAGTTTGGCCATTTGTAGATGTTGCAAAATCCATCTGTACAAGTTTGCTTCCTTAGACTTTCTCTATTCTTACCACTGTTTCATAGGTCAAACTCTGTCTGTATCAGCTGTATGGTCTCCTGCCCACAGACTTCTCATCCATTCTTCATTCTGCACTGAGGGTGGGGCTTCTAAAGTGCAAACCCAGTTCTATCACTAAATATCTCCTTTATATTATAGTTTCTTTTTGAATCTCACTCAGATACTCCTCCTGGAAGGTTTTTCTGACCTTAGTCTGGGGTAGTTGCTCCTTGGATATGTTTTCATTGTATTTTATTTCTCATCCATCTAGGTGCTCACACCAATATGGTGTATTTTGTGGTTACATTACTTGTTATGCTTTTTTTTTTTTTTTTAACCATGAGTACCTCTACAGAGTTAACTTTTAGTAAACACTTGTTCAGTTGAATGATGCCATCAGTCTGAGATTTTTTTTTTCCTGGGGAAGTAAAGCTCAGTCATTTTAAAAACAGGAAATATTTTTTGTAAGGGAAGAATATATTTTGGCATTATACAAATGGAATATTCTGATGATTTCCAGTAAGTTTTGATGAGTTTAATTTGGAAATGAGTCACATTTCATAGTTCTGAAAGTTGGCGGGAGGAAATTCATATTTTTAAAAACATATTTCAAGCCATTTTTTTCATGTGGATGGAGTGAAACTTTCTTTTTTAAAATATGATAAAGGTCACACTGGAGTTTAAAAAAATGCCTTAAAAAGTTGTGACTAGGACCATCTGATTCAGGATTTTTCTGTAGTTTATCAATTGCTTGTATTTATTGTTCAAAACAATTCATAGTCCTTTTATTTTAAGAGAAATCTTATGATGAGGTTCTGTGTAATGCACAAAGGGTCAATTGAAAAAAGAAGTGTGTATTTTTACGGGAGAGAAGTATGCATCGGATGGTATACATTGAGATTGGGGTTTGTAGGAATAACAGCTTTAGAAGGTCTTCATGCTTTTAGAATAATCTGTACAATGAATGCTTTATAGCTAGTACCTTATTCCTATGTCCCTCTTGCCTCTGTTATAGCTCCTTTTATATGCAGACTGACTTCATTTGTCAGGCCCTATCAGTATTTCTATAAGACCAGCATTGTTTCAGAGTAAAATGAGTTCTTAAAAAACTATCTGTGGTGGTAACAATGTTTTAAAATGTTAATGGTGGGAGATTTGGGGTAGAAATAGAGGAGAGCCAAAGAATCTCTGTACAAAGATATTTTATTGTACATTTTTTGTTTAGAAAGGAATTAAGTTAACTTTTATTGTGGTTTTGGGGTATTTGTGTACACATTTGTATATTGATTGATTGGGGCCATCAATACTTAATGTCTAGTGCAAAACTTAACATGTTAATAGATTTTATATTTTGTTATGAGACTTATAAATAATGGGTCCATATATTTTGTGTGAGTGGTTTGATTTATACTTTTAATTGTGGACTTACTAGGAATAGAGTTTGAAAGGGAGGAAATGGTTGTTAAATTAAAAGACTTATTTTGAAACAGAAGAACAAAGATTAGAACTTGTTAAAGTTTAGCAAAATTCATGCTTGTGTGAGTATGCATGTGTATGTTTTGTGTTTCTTGAGAAAGAGACTTTTATTTGGTGGTAGAGCTACAGGAAACCTTTAAAAGTTCCACAGAAAGCTTAACATTTTGAATCCCCTAAATATCTTCATTATTGACTCTGACTTTGTGCTACATAGAGGATGGTGGAATAGTTTCTCCATAATGAATTCTACTCCTAATCTTACAAATCTTTTAATGTTACAAACAGATGAAAATAGTATAAGTACATATATTCTGGCAGTAGTATGAGTTCTGTTTAACTTGTGGTAATCTAACCTAAATGCAGAAAGAAAGATACTTAATTTTCTCACATTATGTACCACCAGTGTGTTCAGTTATGGGTCAGTTTATTTAGATGTGAGTTTCATCTGTCTTTTTATGAAGAGTGCCTTAAGCAAAAGATTTATGGAGGTTTGCTTTGCTTTCAGAAACCTATGGTAAGAAATATGATGAACTGAATCCTTTGATCTGTCATTAAAGATGTCTAGTTTCACTTTGTAGTGTGTCGGGAAGACCATACCTAGTAATTAGAAGGGAGAGAGCCCATGTATATTAAGTTTAGGAACACACAGTAAATATAATGTTGGCTGTAGTCAAGCAAACTTGTTCTTTCCTTTCATGAAGACTCCCATCTTTGAACTGAAAATACTGAAATGCATAGCTAGAAAGTATTTTACTTATTAAATACAGTAAATATTTACTGTATTTAATAAGTAAAATGGGATATTCATCTGTAACTATGGGATATTCATCTGCAGATTAAACCAGCTGCTGATCAAAAATACTGAAAAAAATTATGTCTATACTGAACTTGTACAAACTTTTTCCCCTTACTTTTATTCCCTAGGTGATATAGTTTAAGAACTATTTACATAGCATTTATGTTGTATTATGTATTATAAATAATCTAGAGATGATTTAAAGCATACAGAAGGTTATGTGTAGGTTGAATGCAAATGCTGTACCATTTTGGGTAAGAGACTTGAGCATCCCTATTATCCTCAGGATAGTGGAAGCAATGCCTCCAAGATTCCAAGGATGGCTGGATGCCAGAATTCTAAAACAGTTTTCTAATGAAGCCACAAGGAAATGGCATTTTAAAGAAGCATTCTTAAGTACATTTGAAACACACATTATCTAGAAATTTTAATCTTTAATAATTTTAGTTCTCTGTTATAAGTGACTACGAGTCAGGAATCTGTCTATCCATAGTTGCTGTTCTTCAGTTTGAAAAAATGTAGGTGCAAGACACTATCCATCCATTCATTTAACACAAATTGGGAGTGTTCAAGAAGGAAATCGCTATTATGTAGAACTTTGTTAAGTGAAGTTATGCTCACACTGCTCTTTGATATTCAGTATTTTGGGCAATTTTAGTAAATAATTTTAGAAAGGCAGACTAAAAAGAAACATTGAACTTTTGCTTTAATACCGAAGTGGGAAAGTTAATGTAGCAAAACTTAAGAAAGTATTTCTTATTTAGTTCTGGAAATTAGAGAAGCCGGGATAAAGTTAGGAGTCATAGTTTTGACATTTTCTGGGAGAAAAAAGTAGTAGTATTCGTTTTGCAAGCTGTTTAATATTTATTTGAAATTTCTTTAGAGTCTTGGAAATTCACAGAGGGAATATGAAAAGCAGGTTGTCCTGTACAGTATCCGCAATCAACTACGATACAGAAATAACTTAGGTGAGTAGAGATGTTATATATTTCATGGTATTGAAATTATTCCATGTATAAACCTTTAAGGAATGCTGTACTGATCCATTCAAAATGAAACAATTTTTATTAGCAAGTATAATTTTCTTTCCAATTCTGATGAAAATTATTTTTTAAGAGTATTGTTTATAGGTTCATTTTTCCTGTAGAATATTAATCCTAATTCAGTGTTCTTTTTTTGCCTGGGGTGATAAAAGGAAAAGTTTAGTTTTTAATAATTTTTAACTTTGATTTTTTTTTTTGCTGCTATAAATTTTCTAAATAATAAGACTTTAATGAAAAACTTAACTATAATAATTGGAAAATTTTTAAACAGTTGGTTTCATCATTTTATAAACTCCAAATTTTAAAATATTTGCTTTTTATTTGTTAGATTGATTTGGTAATTAATTTGGTATATTAACTCTTATATTTAATTTTTATTTTTGTAGTGCTGGAAATTGACCCCTGGGCCTTGCACATACTAGGCAAGTGCTCTACCACTAAAATATACCTCTAGTCCTGAGACACTTTTTCTATATAAACCTTTTCCAAATGATTTTTAAAAATATACTTGAGTTCATTGAAAGCTAACATGCAATTTGTCTATTTTGAAAAGCGATATCTAAGCTAGGTACATGAGTGGTGTGTGCTTATAATCCTAGCTACTTTGTGAGGCTGAGGAAGGTGGATTTCAAGTTTGATCTTATCTTGGTCAACATAGTGGGACTCTGTTTCATGTGAAGGAAAAAAAGTAACACAGTAAGGGATTTGAGACTCTGGCCTTTGTTTCCTACCTTTTTGTGTTTTCCAATTTAAGATTTATTTCTCTACTTAAATGTACCATTATACATTTTACTTTTATGCTCAGGTCTATTTCTTGGGGTATAATTGTTCTTTTTTTCCAACTTAGAATATTTTATTTTTTTTAACTTACATACTTTAAAAAATTGATATTGGTTTGTAAAGTATTTCTTACTACATTTATAGTGACTATGTAACTAAAAGACATCTGAAAAAAAACTGGAAAATTTCCTTCTACAGTTAAACATGTCAAGAAAGATGAACGCAAATACTATGAGGAGCTGCTAAAGTACAGTCGAGATCACCTCATGCTGTATCCTTACCACTTATCAGATATTATGGTGAAGGGTCTGCGGATAACACCATTTTCCTACTATACTGGGATTATGGAGGTAAGTTTATAGTGTGAGTGAACCATTAAGAATGGGGTGGGACTGCATATCAGGTCTTCAGTTCAGCCCACAGCTACACAAAGAGATAGGGGATGGAAGAAGCTACATTCTGAGTTAAATTCTGCAGCTAATTGGAACTCACAGGAGCAAAAGCTTCCTAAGTGACTAGAATCTCTTTTGGTAGTATGTATTTAAATGCATGTTGGTAGAGCTGAGACCTTTTCTTAGGATAGAATCTAGGATCAGGATGAAGTATGGAGATACTAGAACCCTGAGCTCTAACGAGGCATTCTTGTATAGCTTCCATAGGGCAGAGGGTACAGGGCAAATGTCTGGGATTCATAGATTCATTTAGAGTGTTGTGAGAAACCCAGACTTGAAAGTCTGTTCTTCTGTTACTAGGAGGGGACCATAGAGTAAGCCCTACAGTGTGGCATGCTTGCTTTAGGTGACTAAACTAAGATCTCACCACTTCCTGTAATAACTGGTGTTGTTTGTCAATATTAATGTATATTTATACACATGATTTCATGTAAGGCAGTTTTGCATTTCAAATTTTAAATTTCTTATTTTTAAAAGGACATTATGAACAGTGAGAAAAGTTATGATTCATTGCCCAATTTTACTGCTGCTGACTGTAAGTATTTAATTGTACCCAGGGAGGTATGTTGAGATTTTGTCTTTGTGCATGCATGGTATTGTCTGTCAGTATTTCGATGTGATTTAGTCTGAGACGTGAAAAATGAGAACAGCTAGAACATTGTTAATGGAAATTTTATTGTATAATACACATCAAGTGTAAGATTTAATCTAAATGTCTAAAAGAGGAACATTTTGGAGTGGTAGAATCAGGAAAATAGAACTAATCATATTTTTAGAGAATGAATTTTTGTTTTGGTATTTGGACTCTATTTACCAAATGAAGGAAGAAAATGTTTGTACAATATTTTTACAACACGATATATACGGTTTCTACCAACATAATTTGTTGGTGTTTTATTATGCTTATTTTAATGAAGTATGTATTTGAAATATGACATAGATCTGTTGTATAAGAAGCTTTGCTGAGAAGTACATTTGTACTTCTTAAAATTGGGAGCACTTCTGCTTTTTAAAAATGTTCTCTTTCAACATTGTTCAAGTTTTAGCTTGAGTTCCTCTCTCCCACAGTTTTTTAGTTTAGTTTTCTTTTATACTTTAGATTTTTTTTTTAATTTGATACTGATGAACTGTGTCAGTAATTAAAAGATGAATATAAGCTAAGGGTTTTTACTAAAGTCACTTGAGAGTATGTGATATTTCAAGATATTAAATGTTTTTAAAGGAAAGGTTTTTTTTTTTTTTAAAGGTCTGAGGCTTCTTGGCATAGGAAGGAACCAGTATATTGATCTTATGAATCAGTGTAGATCATCAAAAGTAAGTCATTTCCCTTTCTTTTTCCTTGTTTGGCATCTTTATCACAGTCTTTTTTTTTTTTTTAAATGGTAGAAGTAGTGAATTATAATTTCTTTGAGCAAATACCATATAAAAATAATTCCTGAGTATTCTCTAGGTTACGGTTTAAGTGATTATTAAATTTAAAATCAGCATAAAACATTTAGTTTTTAAAATTAATTTTGCTCTGCTTTCCCATCCTGGACTTGGAGCTCAATTAATGGGTGTATAAGTACATATTTTCAAGTACACTTTTCACCTCTTGGCTTTCATTTCTGGATTTTGATTCAGGTTTAGGGATTAATAATTTAAGGTAATTTACTTGAAACAATTTAAGAATGACTTTCTCCATTCAAGTTTATTTAGAATAGTAAGATTTTAAAACATGAGAATTTAAAAGATATTTATTTTTCCTGGTAGAAGCAAACTTACATGATTGGATAAAAGAAGAAAGTGGTCATTTTAGGTTGTCTGCTTGTCTGCAAATTCTCAAGTGTTTGTATTATTGCAGAAATTCTTCAGAAGGAAAACGGCTCGTGATCTTCTGCCCATAAAGCCAGTAGAAATCACCATAGAGGCGTGGTGGGTAGTACAGTCTGGATATATCACAGAAGATGACATCAAGGTAGAGATCTTTAAAATTAAAACCAGAATTTTTAAAACTTACTTTTACAACTTTTAATTGCTGTTATATAATATTTTTAAAAATAACAATATTGGTTTCTTATAGAAAATTAAACTCATTTAAAATCTGAAATAATCTTAGTAGGGTAGGCTATTGGTAGTTTCCAAGATGCTTTTTAACAGTGAGGGAGACTTGACATAGTTCAGGTACCGTATCTGGGCATGTTCATTAGGCAGTAAGTGATATATGATACCATAGCTACCAACAGCAATGATATGGCTGCCATTGCTTTTGAAAACTTGTTGTGTACTTGTGTGACATGTACTTTTGTTATATTTGCTGCTTATATTGTTTCAAGTAGTTCTTATAGCAACCCCAAGGGAAAGTATTGTTTGTATCCCATTTCACAGATGAGGAAAGTGAGCACAGAGCAATTAATTAATGACTCAAATTATGATAGTAGAGGTCAAGGATTTTTACCTAGACTGTTTGCTATGGAACCTGTGTGCTAATCATTTTGTTGAATTACTATACTGAAAAGATAGGTGCTTCAGTATTATGATAGTGTCAAGATCAGGAAAATAGTATTCCTGTTGGTCTAACCACATTTAATATAAGTTTTATATATTTTGAAGGGGGTGTTGATTTAGAGGAATGTGTGGGAGAGGAGTATTGAGAGGACCTCGAGACCAGGTCATATCTATGTGTAGTTGAATGTAAGTGAGTAGATGGCCTTTTTTGGGAGTGGTCTGTATTTAATTTTTTCTGGAAGTTATATTAAAGCCAATAAATACAAGGTTTAGAAATTTGGCTTCAGAATAAGTACTTTCTAATGGAGTTGTCAAACTGCGTCATAAGCTAATGAACCTTCTTGTCTCTGAAAATGAATATGTGAATATCTGGAATTCGAATCAATTTCTGTTTTGAGAGATTCAGAATCAGCAAATGGATCTGATTCCAGTTCAAAGAAGAGAAGATATTGGTATTTATTAGCAAGACTTATTACTAACCAACAAATATGATATTTATATAGTGACTTCATTCTCTAAATTCTATTGGTATTATAGATTTTGGCAACTTAAGTAATTTATTTCTGTAGATCTTTGAATTCTAGAGTGATAAATGAAGAGTGTATATAGTTCATTCAACTAATGACATGGAATTATTGATTTCAATAATGAATAGATTTCAGGAGACTAAAGAATTAGTTAATTTGGACAGAACTTAATTGGAAATATTTTGCTTTTCTTAGATATGCACTTTGCCTGAGAAATGCGCTATTGATAAGATCATCGATTCAGGCCCTCAACTCTCTGGATCACTAGATTACAATATAGTACATAGTAAGTGGTTAGTAGAAATGGTCTTTTGTCAATATAAAAGCTTGTTTTAAACCATTGAAAACTAATAGCAATTACTTACCAGTTAGGCACAAATACTACTATTTCCTAAGGGTGTGACTCTAGTCTGTTGTTTTCCACTTAGTGATATACACTAGAAATTTATACAAATGAATGGTAAGAAATATTTTAATAGTTATGAATATATATAGGAAACCAAGATTTTAAAACTTTAATATAATTCGTTTTCTCTTCTGTTTTACTTTTTTCATCTTCACATAGCATTACTTTAAGAATTTTTATGGAAATTAGGAGTCTTTTTTAAAATTAACTGTTATTAATTTAATAAATGAGATAAAACAAAATGCTTTTGCTTCTGTAGGTTTATATAACAAAGGATTTATTTATCTGGATGTACCGATATCTGATGACAGTTGTATAGCAGGTAAGTCTGGGCTAACATTCTCACTGGTTTTTGAATAGCTACTAGGTGTGGGGCACTACATATCATCCCAATAAATTAGACAAAGATCATTCTAGAATCTTAGGTGTTAAGATTTTTCAAGGAAAAACATTTATTATTATATTGTAATCATTATAATAGTTTACTTAAACTTTTTATTTTCATTTTTATGTTATATTTATCCTGTATTAACCTTGAAGCAGAGTTCTCAGAATCTCAGATTAGATCAGTGTTTCTATAAATTTCATTATCACCTTTTAGTCTTGTTCAGTGCATAGCATTTCTTACACATATTCAGCAGTATCATAGAACTGTATATTTTCCTCGTAATACATCTTATTTTTATATGTTATTGTAGTCTTCTTTGTTTTTATTTCCTTCACCCTCCCTCCATCTGTTTAAGTGAGACCAATATTAAGAGGCTTATTAAACCCTTTCCCTGTTGCTGGTTATTGAGGTCATTTTTAGTTTTTTGCCCCTACAATAATGCTAATAAGGTTATTAATATCCTTTTTCTGTAGTTTAAATTTCTTGCCATTTTGTAGAAGCACTTATAATATTCAGCACTTGTGTGTCACAAGTATGTTTTCTAGTGTGTTTTAACTGTTGTTTTTGCTTATGGTATTTTAAAATTCATACTAAGATATCTAATATTTATGTAATCATATATAAAGTGTCAAATTCCAGTATTCCATACTGTTAACAAATAAGTGGTGACAGAGATTATTTGGTGATGTGAAGGAAATATTTTCCCATGTCAGTGATGAATCTTGACAGGTTATTTTGCTATAGTGTATTTTGACCTTTATTTGGGCTAACATGTATTTTCAATTCTTTAGTAATGCATTTTTAATCATGTGCATACATGAGTTCTATTTTAAACTTGGAAAGACAGCTAAAATGTTAAATGAAATACTAATTTGGGTTTCTATAGTTGATGGTGTAAAGAATAGAATACTAGTTTAAAAATTTAAAAACCTTTTAATAAAGAAATGATTTCTGGAAGACAAGTAATAGTGGTTTCCTGTTGCAGTTGGAATATATGAAAGCATTATTCTAGTTCCTGTTCTTATCTGATAAACTGACACTGACTAATTTGAGATCCACCTAAAAAGATTAGTCTTTGTTTCATTTTGACTGACAGTTTGAACACTGACTCACATTAGCTCTAAGTTCTTTTGAAAGAAGCATTCACAGAAGGGCCAAAGGGATGGCTGCTCCATTACAGTGATGTATTCTGCCACATTTAGTACTTGATAGTTTTTGGTGATACAGACAAATCCATGAAATTATAACTGCTTAATTCACCCTACTTTTCACCATGTTGCCTCTCTAGCTGGGCCTAAGTTGGAATAAACCTATGAGAGAAAAGCAGGTTGGCAACATGGAAACCACGAAGTTCAACACAAAAGACACCTGAAGATGATTTCAGAGGAGGCATTTCAGAAATGTTTCAATAAAAGTACAAACAGTATGGGTGATAAAACAAACATAGATGAGAGGGGACAAATACTTTGAAGGAAATATTCTTTTTCAAAAAATTAAAATAATTTTTTTTAGTTATAGATGGACACAATACCTTTATTTTGTTTATTTTTATGTGGTGCTGAGGATTGAACCCAGTGCCTCACATGTGCAAGGCAAGCACTCTAGTGGCTGAGCCACAACCCTAGTCCTAGGAAAAATCTTTATAAAGTCTCTGTTATTGAATTAAATATATTTCATCATTGATCATACTTCCTAGCTGCATATTTTATGTCTGCCCTTTTATTGCTTCTAGATTTCTGTTATGCTTGAGTGGAATGCTTTCAGGATATATAACTAGTCTAAGAATCTTGGAAACTTTAGCTATCCATGTGTTTAAATCTGTAGTTTGTTTGGAACTTTAATATTTGATGTGAGATAAGGGTCCAGCTTGGTTTTTTTTTATTTGAATAGCCAGTAGCATTTGCGGAAATGCTAGCTGTTTTTTCATTAACTCATTTATGTTGAGTGGAAGTATGACTTTTGTCCCATACTGAATTCCCCTCTATATTGGATCTAATTCTGATATCCTTTTATCTCCCAATGAGACCATGTTTTCTTGATTATGGTGACTTAGAGTAACTTTTAGTATTTGTTGTGACCAGGTTTTCCTTGTGACTATTCCAAGATATTTTTTCTTTTATTTACTCATTTATTTAACATTTTTGAGTAGGGAATACTTATGATGCAAAATTCTAAATTTACAAATGAGTGTAAGAGTCTGTCTCCCACTTTTGTGCTTAAGCTACCCAGTTTCTCGTATCCTTTTAGGAGTAAATCTATGCACATGGGCTTGTACATATACATGCCTATATGCATGTCTGTATATATACTTTTTGATGTGTTTTTATTTTTTCACAGATGAGGTGTGTATTTTAGTTCATACTTTCAGTTTTAACAATATATTAGAGACTGTTCCACTTTTTTTTTTAATATAGAGATGCTATAATTGTAGCTTAGGAAAATTTCTATACTCTTAATGTCTTGGTTTCTTTATCTCTAAAATAGGGGTAATTAGACTAACTGTATAACTCACAGGGTTAAGAGGGTTAAGTGAAATTGTATATGTAAAGTACTTGGGAATAGTCCAGTGCTTAGTAAGTGTTTCATAATTGTTCAGTATTATTTTCACACAGCTTATAGTATAGGAAAAGAAGTAATGCCATTAAATATGGGATTTCCAAAATATTTCTAAAAAGAAGACTTTCATCCTTGAAGTCCCTAGATAACTGGAAATCATAGCACTAAGTTAGAAAAGGACAGGAACCAGATCTATAAAGTGTATAACCTGCCCTGAAATGTACATTGTAGTTATATAGTATTTTAATTTTAATCACTTGTATTGTGTCTTATGTTTTGCTTTTAGGAAGAATTTAAGTTTTGTGTACAATGAGATGGCATTAGGGCCAGGGGACACAGGAATACCCAAATGCTGCTATGCCTAGACACTCCTTTCCCAGGATATTTTCATGGGAAGCGTACACATGGGAGAATGGCAAAGAAAAGCATAGTGCTTCTTTATCACTGGCTGGCAAAGCTTTCTGGTAAATGAGATTTAGAGCATTTGGACCAAATGAGTATGAATGAAGCTTCAGGTGGACAGCAGTGTTTGGGCCACATGTGTAGAGGGAGGTCTTAACCTTCTCACTATTGTGGAAGAGAGAGAGTACAAAGTCCCAAAGAGCAAATTATACTGGTGACTGCTGATAATTGGGGCAGTCATGCAGATTAAATTCCCCTTCTTCTCAGGATACAGTGAGGTGACAGGGAGAAAGGCAGAGAGCCAGTACTTTCCATCCATCTGGTCTCTTCTTAAAGTCCTTTTCTGCTTTGGCCTAGTCAGTCCTGCTGCCTGTGAGGCATGGCACATACATCAGAAACCCTTTGCACACTTCCCCTTTCTGAAGCAGCCTCCATACACCTCTGCCTTTGGACCAGGTCCATGTCTTTCAACAGTTTCTCTGCCTCAGTAACCCTGAGAGTTCTGTAGAGAATTAAATAATTCTTTGCAAATTTTTGTGGTCTCCCTTCCTAGTTCTTTCTATGTAGGTATTGTTGTATGTGACCTAAACTTTGGGAGTTTATGAAACTTTCTGTGGGGTAGATAAAATAAATCAAAAGTTATATTCAGTTCCTAAGGAGGAGGATTCTCTTTTTTGAATAGATGTTTTCTTTTTTTTTTTTTAAGAGAGAGAGAGAGTTTTTTAATATTTATTTTTTAGTTTTCGGCGGACACACATCTTTGTTTGTATTTGGTGCTGAGGATCAAACCTGGGCTACACGCATGCTAGGCAAGCATGCTACCGCTTGAGCCACATCCCCAGCCCAAATGAATAGATGTTTTCTTTTAAAAAAATCATGTAACTGAGAAAAGTCTATTTTGTTTATTTTAGTTCCTCCTCTTGAAGGTTTTGTAATGAATCGAGTACAGGGTGATTATTTTGAAACTCTACTCTATAAAATATTTGTTTCAATAGATGAGCACACTAATGTTGCAGAGGTAAGTGTGTTAACATTTTGTGAAAAAAAAATCTTAAGAAATAAGTTTATGTAGAGTATGTAAAAAATTTTTAATAATATGGTTAAGATGTGTTCAAATTCTATTCATTGAGAAATTGAGAGACCTTTAATACATTTAAATGTCACCATTCTTAATTCATGTAAATGCCTAATAAAATTTTTATATCAATAATTTATAATTTGGTTAAATAACTTTGTATACCTCTTCTTAGTAAAGGTTTATATACTATATTTTCTTTTATTAGAGCATTACATTCATACGTAGTATTTGGGTTCCCTTTGACATAATTATACATATAAAGAATTTGATTTCAATCCCCATTCCGTCTCCCTTTTTATCCTCCCTTCCCCTTATCTTTCCTGTACTCCATCGATTTTCTTTCCAATCATTTATTTATTTATTTATTTATTGGTTCTGGGGATTGAACCCAGGGGCACTCAACCACTGAGCCACATCTCCAGCCCTTTTTAATATTTTATTTAGAGACAGGTTCTTGCTGAGTCTCTTAGTCCCTCTCTGAGTTCTTGAGACTGACCTTAAACTCATGATCCTTCTGCCTCAGCCTTTCTTTATTTATTTTTGATTGGTACTTTCTAAATATATGTAAAGGAGATATTCCCCTTGGTACATTTATGTATATGTATACATATAACATGATTCTTTTAATTCATTCTGTATTTCTTTCCTTTCGTTTCTTCCTTTCTTTAATTTTCCTTTTTTTTTTAATTTAGGAATTTTTTAATTTAAATGAGACAAAATTAAAGAGTAAGGAATCTTAAATCGTTATGGTCACTACCTAGATTTATATTACTCTTAGTATCTTAGTGATAAAGAAAGAAAAAAAAACCTCTGAATTAAAAATTTATTCAGTCTTTCAATTATTGATAATTAATTTTTTTCTGATAATGATTACATTTATGTATTATTGCTGTATGGTGGCTAATAATTCTAAGATGAAAAAATAAATTTTAATTTAATTTTCAGCTTGCCAATGTCCTTGAGATAGACTTATCTCTGGTTAAGGTATGTTATATTTATACTCTTTGTAATGTGACCGATACATTTTACTAGTTGATTTTTATTTTGATACACTACTGAGAAACAAAGGTATGAGGAATTGTTATTAGCTGCTTTGGGAGAATGCACAGTATAGGCATGGTTTACAGAGAGACAAAAGGGCAAGATGAGGTGCCCTGAATTAGTTTTTTACTGATGAAATGAAAGAGAGCACTAGCACAAATGGGTGCAGCAAGGGAGGCCTGATTGAGATCTTGTAGGGAGCCCAGTTAGTGACACAATTTTGCCTCATTGGAGTAGATGTAGGAGGGCGAGGCCAGAGAGGGGGGAGCAGGCCTCCCTCAGCCCCCACCACACAATTGTACATATGAAGACCTGAACAGGCCTATTAAAAAGGCTGTTTTTATTCTAACTGTAGTGTGAAGTGTTTGAGGATCACTAGAGGCATGTCTCTTATAGTATGTTTTTTCTTTACAGATATTTTGATGTGTAGTTTATTTTAAATGCTAATTTTCTACATATTCCTTTCAGAATGCTGTTTCAATGTATTGCCGATTAGGCTTTGCCCATAAGAAGGGACAAGTAATAAATTTGGATCAACTTCATTCATCGTGGAAGAATGTTCCATCCGTAAACAGATTAAAGTAACTCATTTAGTGTGACATATGAAAGTTTTCTTTTGAAAAAAAATTAATTGTATACAAAGAAATTTTATTTATTCAATTTGTCATTTGTGGTATAAACCTTATATATATTAGTAATTTCAAATATTTTGTATAAAATGTATCTTTTAGAATCTGGTAAAAATTAAGAACCTTCACTATAGAAAAAAGCATATACAATATTGTACATACAATTTTGAAAGATTCTTGAATTCCCTTAAGCCTATCCATGGGTCTTGGTTGGAAGATTTTATTGTATGTGGGCAGAGCATTTTTTGCCCTACAATCTTAAATTCAGACTTGAGTATAAGACTGAATTTAGATTGTTCATAATTTAAGTACTGACTTCAGTGGTTATTTTTATGTAAGATACTTTTTATGATTTTTAAGTGAATGTATTCTTCATTAATAGGAGTACTTTAGATCCACAAAAGATGCTCTTATGGGATGGTGGGGAAAGTCGGAGTCCTGTGCAAGAAGCTTCTTCGGCTACTGACACAGACACAAATAGTCAAGAAGATCCAGGTTAGCAATAACTCCATTTATTTAGAGGTTGTTTTTAAGTACAGTATCTGTCTAAACATATACTCTTATAGTTATTTTATAGTTTTTTCTTTTAAATCTTCTTCACTCAATATGCAGTTTTTGAATACATACCCACATATTGGGCATTATACTAAGCATAGGGGTATACAATTGACAAAATATGGCACATTCCTTCTGAGAATTAAATCTAGGGAGAAGAGAGTGCAACTAAAAAAAAAAATCACAAAATTGAAAGCACCAATTATGATGCTTTCGAGGTACAAAGAAGAGACCCTTTATTGTCTGGAGAGGTGTGGGAAGCCTTCATGGCAAAGATGTTTGGGCTGACAGTGAATGCTAGACTGCTGGTCAGTGAGGGAAGGCCATTTCAGCCCAAGAGAACAGTATGGGCTAAGCACAAAAGGAGGTAAAGAGTAATGCGTGAGGGGACTGCTCAGGGTTTAACGCTGTTGGGGAGCAGGAACGCAACATGGACTTTCTTTCAAGACTTTTGTTTTTTTTTTTTTTTTTTATATATTTTTTTTTTTATTGATTGTTCAAAACATTACAGAGCTCAAGCCATATCATCTTTCATACATTTGACTCAATTGAGATTTGAACTCCCCAAATACATAATACAGACTCACTTCTGTTACATACTCACGTTTTTACATAATGGCATATTAGTGACTGTTGTATTCTGCTACCTTTCCTATCCCCTACTATCCCCCCTCCCCTCCCCTCTCCTCCCATCTTCCCTCTCTACCTCCTCTGCTGTTGTTCAGTTCTCTCCCCTTTTTCCCCCCACCCCCTTTCCCCTCATAACCTCTTATAATTTTGTGTATCACTGAAGGTCTCCTACCATTTCCATGTTTTCCCTTCTCTCTTCCTTTCTCTCCCCCCATTCGTCTTAGTTTACTGGTAGTCTTTTCCTCATGCTCTTCCTTCCTGTTCTATTCTTAGTGGCTCTCTTTATATCAAAGAAGACATTTGACATTTGTTTTTTAGGGCTTGGCTAGCTTCACTCTTTCAAGACTTTTGTTACTTGACTCAGGTGACTGGTCTGAAGGGGTTAGGCCAGTTAGTCTTATTCATCTGACAGTTATACCAAGTGTTTATTATTAATTTTCAAGAAACTTGTTACAAAAGTAAATGCTTTTAAAAAATATTTTTAAAAAAGTCTTTGTGCTTTGAGATAGGTGTGCTTGGAATCTCTTGTGACTCTAATATTGCTTATATTTGATTTATGTATTTTCATAAATCCATTCTAAGTGATAGGCAAAGAATAATTTTTATTTGCCTAAAATTTTTAAATTATGATTTTTTTTTTCAGCTGACACAGCTAGTTTAAGCAGTTTGAGTCTGTCTACAGGATATACGAAGCGTATTGCCTTCCTATTTGATTCAACTCTTACTGCCTTTTTAATGATGGGAAATCTTTCACCAGTAAGTCAAATGTTTGTTTAAATATAAAGACGTGTACAAATTAAAATAATTCAGTGCTCTTATAACTTTGTGTAAGTATTGGATTTATTTCTGAAAACATTTGTTTTGTTTTATATTCCTTAGGGGATATAATAATTTTTAGTAAGGGTTGCTTTTGTAATTGGAAGAATCAACTTCTTATCTCACCTATTTTCAAATTTGACTGTATTGGAAAGTGTAATTAGAAATTATAAGGCTTAATTTCTACAAGTCCTAGAAATATAAGACTTAATATTAGAAATATAAGATATTATGTTTATCTTTAACTTTATTATTTTTGTTTCTTTTTTGCAGAACTTGAAAAGTCATGCAGTCACAATGTTTGAAGTAGGCAAACTCTCAGATGAATCTCTGGACAGCTTTCTTATAGAACTAGAAAAGGTAAGTTTAGATATCATTTTAAGGGATGGCAGAGCATTTGAAATACTAGCTTGATGAAATATCATTTATATTGACTGTTGATCATCATGGATTTTTGGCGTATTCTTGCTTATTCTTAGTCATTCCCCATGTTAGTATCATGGCAATCATTTAGACTTAAACACTGAGTGGGCGAATTAATTTTATGATTTTTTTTTTTTACGGTGGTATGTCTATCTCATCTATCTCTTAATATGTTATAATGAGAAATGGGGAATAGAAATCTTCATCTGTATGTAATTTTTTAAATTGAATTTTTAAAAAATAACCTTTTTTCTGGTGTTACTCTTAAGTTTACCCTTTAAGCCATTTTATTTGAAGTTTTTGTTCCTGTTATCTTGAACCTGGAACAATGTCCCTGGTTTCATATTTATGTCCGCAGTCACTATCACTTTTAGCATCTTGAAGACTTCAGCCATATTTGCTCTTAGCCACCTTTTTCCCTGTGAGTACAGCCCTAGTTTTTCTTAGCTCTAAATTTTGATGGCCTTTATTGATGTTTTTTATACCCTGGATATTTTATTCTGTTTTCTGCTCGTCTTTATATATGACAGTTGGTGTGCCTAACCTGTTCCTTGGCTAATAATTTAATAATAAATTCTAAATAAACTCTGTATATTGAATGTGCTATTTAGAGAATTTTTGATGATCCTGTAATTCTTTTATATTTTAAGTATTTTTTATTTCTTCTCCTTCATAGGAGTTTTACTTTAATTAATGCAAAATACATATGAGATAATCCTTGCAATTAAGTGGTCTGTTTTACTTTGATCTATATGCTTCATTATTCCTTCAGTGCTTTTTTAAATCACTTGTTAACCCTATTTCTTATAGTGTATCATCTTTTGCTAATTACATTTTACCATGTTCCTGCAATTTTAAGTTCTGGTTTCCTGGTTTTTATATTTTTTATATTCAGCTAGTCTTTTTTATCATTTATAGTTTCAAGATCACATCTGTTCTTTTACTTGTTATATATCTGTATTGTTTTTTAACGACATAGTCATTCTTGGGAAAATGTTTTTGGCTGAAGTTTAGTTCTAAAAGTAGTTCTAAAAGTGTTTCTTAGCTATTTTTTAAGTACACTGATTGTCATTAAGCTTAATTAGTTGATCTTGTTACCAATTAAATTTAATTATATCTTCCCTTTAGACCTCTCTTTCCATTTTTTGTGTTTTTTCCTAGGATATATGTAAACAAAACTATTTTATTTATATATATGTAGATAAATAAAAACAGGTGACAGACTCATTGTTCAAAGAGCATGCATTAGATATAAGGCCAGTGAAGTCAAGACTTTTGTCTGTTTAGTCTTTATCTCCCAGACTGGTCACGTTATGTAGGAGATACTAGGTAAATCTTGGTGAATGAATTTGAGCTGTGTGTCCATCAGTGACCAATATCCATGTTCACTCACATATTCCAGTGTGCCTCGTAACTGATGATACAAAATTGTGAGCAAAGTGATGAGAATTAGAGGAGCTGTGGATTGGAGTACTTATTGGATGAAGCAGAATATGGGTTTTAGCTTTTAGTTTTTAAGCACCCTATTTGAATGATATATGGACCTATAACTTATATAATGGTCTAAGTTAGTATTCTCTTGCTAAAATTATTAGTTTTACTTGTTGGAGTAATTTCTATTTTTTTTTCAGCATTGCCTGAGCAAGATTTTTTTTTAATATTTATTTATTTTTTTGTAGCTGTACACAATAACTTTTTATTTATTTTTATTGTGGTGCTGAGGATCGAACCCAGGGCCTTGCACATGCGTGGCGAGCGCTCTACCGCTGAGCCATAACCCCAGCCCCCTGGGCAAGTTTTTGATCTGTTGCTTTTAAATAATGTCCTAATATCTTTATTACATGATTATTGAATTTAATGGCATGAAAGTGGCATTTATTGCAAAAATCTGTTTTCTTTTGATTTAGGTTCAGAGCACTGGTGAAGGAGAAGCACAGAGATATTTTGATCATGCACTTACTCTGAGAAACACAATACTATTTCTGAGACATAATAAAGACCTAGTTGCACAAACTGCTCAGCCAGACCAACCCAATTATGGTATGTTAAATATATGTAATTTTGAAGACATGATCATAAGCAATGTATTCCTAAGACATTGAAAAGATCCTGCTCATTTATTTAATCATCACTTAAGAGTGTTGTTTAATATAATATATAATATATAATTAGTATCGTAGTAATATATAGTTAGTATTGTATAGATACTGAATTTATAACTGAGGTATGCTTTATGAATTTCCTTGCCAACTGTTTTCTACTTTATTTTATGTTTTCTCCTGTCTTCTCATTTGTTGTATTTAAATCTTATTACCTACAAATAGAGTTGGAATATGTACTTAACTCACTGAATGGAATTTAGAATAGGCATCAGTCAGCTCTTGAGGGATAAACAAAAGCTCAAATTTAGTTAATGTAGGAGGATAATGAGAGAATGATAGATTCTATCATTTGAACCTCTTGTTCAAATGCTTCTACAATATTCAGTAAAGTATTTTACTTTGAAATATGAAAATGAAAACAAATAAAAAGAAGTAGTAGCACTTTTGTGTGTTAATGAACTCTGAAGTAGCTGTTGCTCTGTCACTAAGTTACTGTGAGTGACATCAGTTGCACTGATGGTACCAGAATCTCTACCCAGAGTTCGTGATTCAGAAGATTTTAAGTTGGAGAAAGACATCCAGGAATGTGTGTTTTAAAAAAGGTGATTCTTGGATTCAGCTGCAATTGGGCACTCCTGGAACAGTATTTGGCTCAGGTCCTTGGACATTCACAAGAGTTCATCTTGGAAATTTGTAAATCCTCATTGCCACTGTAAATCCTCATTTGTAAATCCTCATTTTTTAGGTAAATGAAATTAAATTAACATTTAATTTTATTTACCTAAAAATTCTGTTTTTTTCTAGCCAAGAAGCATCATTTTCTTAGTTATATCCATTTTCATTTTCTCTCTCTCACTAGCATCTGGCTCTCTCTTCAGCTCAGTTTAAAAATTTAAGGAAGGAATCAAGTAGCACTTTAACATGAGTTGTCAAATAGGTGAGAACAAAGTAGGCAGGTAGTTTAGCTGAATAGGCTGGACTCACTCAATATCTAGTGACTTACTATTATACTCTTATTGTGTCTTAGCAGAATCATAAATTTTCATTTGCTGGGGGCTCTTTTTTTGAGATCATTCATAAATAGTTAAATAGTTAAAACTGAGAATACTAAATCACCAAATGCCAAGAGTCTGAAGCACTTGCATTTATTGATAAGTAACCTTTTTTGCTACCAAATTTTAGGTTATGCAATCAGATAGTGGCATAACGTTGAAAGATGTCTTTCTATATAAGTTTCCTTACTTTCTGTCAAAACAAGATTTGATCTTTTTTGTACTTATTCTGCTCAACACTGAAATTGGTCGTTTCTCTTAGGAGCACAGTTTTTTTTTTTTTTTCCCCCCGGGGAGTGGTGTTAAAGACCAAGATCCTGGTAATGGTTATGCTCAGTTGCCCTGTTCACTAGGTTGTATTTTTTTAAGATGCATTCTTGCTTGAGGGAGGAGATAGTGCACTGATTTGTAGTTTATTTCAACATTAAACATCTCATTTTAGACAGCAGTAGGATTTGGTGTTTTCATAAAAGATTAAGAACAGGGACCCGGAGTCCATGCTTTATGGACCAGTGGTCTGTGGCACAGATTTCTAAATGAGGAGTGCTTATCCCTGTGCTAAAATCAGAATTGACTGATTCTTTTTGTTGCACTTAGAAGCTGAGGGAGAGGGAGACACAGCTTCCCTTGGTACTTAGGTTATTGTAATATGCCATATAGTGGCTGGGTATTAAGGGAAAACAAGCTTGTTTTGTTAAAGTAGAAGATAGACTGAAGAAACAGCATTAGACAGGTTTCATTCTAGACCACAGAATAAAAACTTTGTATCTCAAAATATCTTAATGGTCTCCTTGGAAATTTGGTACTTCTTAAAATAGAGGTATTCAATCTTTATTTATTTTTTGTACCAGAATTGAACTCAGGGGTGCTTAAAGGCAATTATCAATAATATATCTTCAGTATTTCTGTTTCACATGGTTGTTTCATTCTCTGTGTGCTTGATCATAATTCAGGTTTTCCCTTGGATCTCTTACGCTGTGAAAGCCTCCTTGGTTTGGACCCTGCCACTTGCAGCAGAGTTCTAAACAAAAATTATACACTGCTTGTTTCCATGGCTCCTCTCACCAATGAAATCCGGCCAATCAGCAGCTGTACTCCTCAGGTAAAGCCCCACTTGGAAGATGCACTTGGTAGTACCATCGTTTCAATATGGGGCTAGGGCTATAGCTCATCGGTAGAGCACTCGCCTCACACGTGCAAGGCCCTGGGTTCGATCCTCAGCACCACATAAAAAAAAAATAAATAAATAAATAAAAGTTATTAAAAAAGAAAAGAAAATGATTTTATTTTCCTAATGTTCAATTTGCAGATACCAAATGTTAAAAGAACTGACTTAGAAAGCACTTGTATATTTTATGCTATTATGTTTAATTTATGAAGTCTAATTTGCATATTTAATTGATGCGTCATCTAGTGACTTGTGACACATTAGATTAAAATTTATTCATGTGCCAAATATTTTCAAGAGAATGTTCTGGGGTGCTCCAAGAAGAAAATTTGCATCATTTTGAAGGGTATGATAAATTTAATCAGAAAAATAAAATGTTTTAAAAGGGGATTGTGGTGCTGAATTAGCCAGAGATGGTACTTGAAAGCTAGAACTCTAGTTAACTCTAGAATTCATACGTGAAAACTACTTCTGGTCTTTTACTTTTTAAAAATAAATCAATTTCATCTATTATATATTAGCTAGGAAGTAGTTGTATTTTCAAAGAGTGGAGATATGGTGAAGGGGCGAAGCCCAGATTCAGACTTATACAGTCTGGTCTCTTAACTGCAGGGATAGGATGTGCCTTCTTAATTACAGTATAAAGCAAAATTATTTTAGTCAAACACTTAACATTTACTTTTATAAGGACAATGGCAATTAAAATTTATATGAGGCATTTGTTGTTTATAAGACTATTATACTTGATCACTTGTGAAATTTGTTTTCTTTATATAAGTATTAAAACTTGAGCTTACCTCTTTTATGATTGAAGCATATTGGACCAGCTATCCCAGAAGTCAGTTCTGTCTGGTTTAAACTGTACATTTACTTTATCACTGGGCAAGGACCACCATCTCTCTTACTGTCCAAAGGTACAAGACTTCGAAAACTCCCAGATATATTCCAGGTGTGTATGTGGGGTTTTTCTTAAAAATTTTAAGGGTAGAAATTGGTAAGCAGTATTATAGATAACTTTAAATTTTTTTTTCTTATTTTTAACTGCCATTCTATCTTTTATTCATTTCTTTCCAATAGGGTTATGATCGATTACTCATAACATCTTGGGGTCACGATCCTGGGGTAGTTCCTACATCAAATGTACTCACGATGTTGAATGATGCTTTAACACATTCTGCGGTTTTAATTCAGGTACACTTACATCATTTCAGAAAATTAATTTGGGATTTTTATTGTAAAGATCATAATTTGCCTAGCTTTCTACTGAGTTTCAATCAGATATCAGTAATTCAGATTTATAAAGTTGAAACAGGGAATCAGATCTGGGTTTTAGTCCTGGTCCTTTGACATTATGGGGATGGAAGAAACGAGATATGCTTTGAAGTTAGAGTCGGGTTTGGATTTTAACCTCACTTTTGCTAGCTCTGTGGCCAGCATCCTTTTTTAAATAATAGTTTTATGGAGATATAATGCATATACTATACAGTTTATGAATTTGAATTATACAATTCAGTGGTTTTCAGTATATTTACAGATATATGCAGTTGTTAATATATTCAGTTTTGGACATGTCCATTATCTCAGAAGTAAACTCTGTACCATTTAGTTATCATTCTCATATGTTCTTTCCCCCTTTACCCCTAAGTAGCACTTTACAGATTGCCTACTCTTGAGTGTACATGTACATAGAATTGTAGATTTGTTTTGTGTGTGAAAGACACTGACTTTGATTTAGCATAATGTTTTCAAAATTCATCATGTTAAAGAATGTATCAGTACTTTGTTCCTCTTTATGACTAAATTAATATTTCATTGTATGGATATACCACATTGATGCATAATTGGGTTTCCATCTTTTGGCTGTTGTGAGTAGTGCCGTTATACTAATTTGTGTACACATTTTATGTGGACGTGTGTTTTGTTTCTCTTGGGTATATACCTTGGAGTGGAATTGCTGGGTCATGTGTTAATTCTGTGCTTAACCATTTAAGGAACTGCCTGCCAGAACAGACTGACTGAAGTCTCTGTTCCAGTTTGCATTCCTACTACCACTTGATATTTATCTGGCTGTTTGGTCATAGCCACTATAGGGAGCGTGAAGTGGAGTATCATTACAATTTTGTTTTGTCATATCCTGATGACTAATAATGTCAAATCTCCTTTCATGTACTTCTTGGGCTATGTGACATTTTTGTAATACTCCTGATATTTTATTTCCTTTCTATAAAATAAGAGATGGCAGTGTGTACTATATAATAATAATAGCAGCCAGTGATGAGATGGGAAATGTACGCTCATAGAGTTGTTCAGAGAACGAAATGAGAGTATGCATATGAAGTATGTAGTGTACTTTTTCATAACTGAAATCTCTAATTGAGATTTCAATAATTAGTTCAACTAGCAGTGGAATGTGCTAAATTCTGTGCTACTTAATATGGATATGCAAATGAGACATCTTTTCCGTCTTCAGCAATTTAAGTCTGGTGGGAAAAGTTGAATGATAAGTTTCAATTTATGCTTTGTGCTGAATAGAATTATCTCCATTGTTTAAAGGGAAGTACCTAATCCAGCCTTGGGAATTGGGGGCTAAGCTCCTTAGAGAAGCGAGAGACAGGTAAGTATAAGAGGAGGATTTAAGAGAGCCAGGCTGGGCAGAGGGGTCAGCATGAATAAATCTCTCAGCAGGGAGGTTTCTTTTCCCCCCTTTATTGATGTTTCCCTAAGAACTAACATAGCACTGACTCCTAGTAGTTGCTCAATTAATGTTTGATGAATAAATGAATAGGGATATAAAGCGGCATAACATATTCTGGGGTCTGCAAGTTGTTTGGTACTTTTGAGAGGTGGATTGGAGCATTTTAGGATCATGGTCAGAAATGAGTCTGGAGAAGCAGGCAAACCCTGGAGTATATCATGAATGTCCTGCTGTCAAGCTTAGGTTTTAGCCTATAGATTTGTGGCAGCACTTCAAGAAGCAAAGAATTAACATCGTCAAGTGTATTTTAAGATTCAGCCTGGGAACCATACTGAGAATGGATGGACAGGGTGAAGACACCTGAAACAAGAGCATAGATTAGGGTGTGGTGTGTAGCAGTTTAGTTAAGGGGTTAAGTCAGGGAAATGGTAAGAAAAGAAAAGAAATAATGGGTTTAAGAACTACTACAAACAAATAGAAATAAGCAAATGTCTGAGAAGGCTGTGGGAAGAGGTGGAATGGTTCCCGGTTGGTAGGCTTGTGAAGGTACAAGGGTGCTGCTGATGCCACTACTCAAGAGAATACTGGAGGAAGAGCTGGTTTGTCGGAACTTAAAACATGTTACAAATTAATATTTTGATGGAAATTGTGATTTATTTTTGGGCATGGTGTATATAAAGTGCCTGTTCAGGTGATAGAGGGGCAATTGGGGATAATCTGAAATTCAAACAAGGTTGGACGGGGAGGATGTCCTAGTGTCCAGGTCTGCACATAGGTGGTGGTTAAACATCTGAGAGGATGAAATTAGCCAGAGAAAACATTTGGTAGGGGTGCTAGGGAGAGAGAACATAATGAAACTGGCTGGATGTGATCAGGGAAGACAGCCTGAATTCATATCTTGGTTCTACCACTTATTAGTCATGTGAGCAAGTTACATAACTTCCCTGAACTTTAGTGTCTTTACTTGTTGCCTGGAGATAACAAAGTCCATATCTTTATCAGATTGTTGAAAGAAATGGCTGAGATGGATAATTTATTAAATGCTTAGTGTGGTGCTTAGCTCACCAATGTGACTGTGGTGATAATGACAGTGGAAGTAGAGTGAGGGGGCAGTGGTGACCCATTACTCTTTTCTGTCACTTTTGATGAGCCATTCACTTTTTTGAGCCTTAGTTTTCCTTACCTGTAAAACAAGGGGTGAGATTGCCCAGATCTATTCTATAGGCAGTAAGTTTTCAATAAGTCAAACTAAATTAATTCTTTGGCATGGAAAAACATGGATAGAAAAATATAACCAAATAAGTAGATGACACCTGTTTTTAAAGCGTTAAAGAAATGTGCTTTTGCTTAAAAAAAAAAAAAAAAAAATGCCTCCTTTATTAAATTTACTGAAAATTTTCACCTTTTTGGAATTTTTAAAAAATTACAAATTAAGTTTTTTTTAAATTAAAATCATGGTTTTAATTCAATCACCCAGTTTAGGATTAAGTTATATATTTTATCAATAGGACACAAAAGAGCTATTAAATATATTCATACTGCTAAAATAAGTGTGCTTTTTCTTGGATATATCAGAGATTCCTGAGTTTGAGGAATTGCATATAAGCAAAACTTTAAAACAAAATAACAAAATTCATATGAATAGTAATTGGATGTGATGGATAAAACTAAATTATAACATGTAATTGGATGTGATGGATGAAACTAAATTATAACATTGGAGTGGCATGGGTGGACACATTTTTTTTTAATATAATTTTTTAATTTATAGTTCACATGCTTCAGAATAAAATACTAGATGGGCATGGTGGTACACACCTGTATTCCCAGCTACTCAGGAGGCCGAGGCAAGAGGATCACAAGTTCAAAGCCAGTCTCAGCAATTTATTGAGGCCCTAAGCAACTTAGTGAGACCCTGACTTAAAAAGAGCTGGGGATATGACTTAGTGGTTAACTGCCCCTGGGTTTAATACCTGGCACTAAATAAATAAATAAATAAATAGCTACTAAAATGGATACAAAGAAAGCCCCTTCCAATCCTGTCTACCCATTTTGCACTCATCTATCATTCATATGAGATAATCACATTTATTAGTTTCTATTGTGTCCTTCTTTATATAAATGTGAGTAATTATACACCAATGTTCTCCTTGCTTTTTCCATTTGCCATTAGATTTTCCCATTTTTAGTTCATAAAGGGCTTCCTCCTTTTTTTTAACAGCTGCATGAAAATATGTGCCATAATTTATTTAAACAGTTGGTGACCGTTTTGTTCTTAATTATATGTAGATATATTGTTGTATCAAATGTCTTTGGCTATATGCCATTTCAGGGTGGGTTTTTGAGGTTTTTGTTCCTGTCTCTGGTATGCCATGTTACTGGGAATTCTTGCATTTCTTTCAGAACAACAGCTAACTTTGTGCTCATGCACTTTACCTCATTCATTCTTCATTTGATTTGCACCTACCCGATTTATCTGTTAATTAGCCTCTGTTTTTTTCATGTGCTCAATTTGAGAAACATCGCCCTATATGTTCACATATACATAAGATTGTCATTGTTGGATGTAGAAAAATAAAAAATCATTGAAAGCATTCTGATGGAGTATTTATGTGGAAAATAGCATCATAGGATACAATCTTATTTATTGTTGTGTATCAGTGATTAGGTTTTTTGTATACCTTTCAACTCTTGTTTCTTTATGTTTAGGGACATGGTTTGCATGGGATAGGAGAAACTGTCCATATACCGTTTCCATTTGATGAAACAGAACTGCAAGGAGGTACTCTTTGAATTGTTTCCATTTGACTTTTCATTAATCATGTCAACTGTTTGATGGAAAACATGATGGAAAGTGAATTCTTAACATTTTTAAGTTCTAGATTTTTACCATTTTGCTATTTAAGCATATTGGAAAAGGTAGCTTTTTTTGTCATGTGCTTTTTCCCTCGGAACTCATAGATGAAGACTCATTCAGTAGCTTTGAAAGAATATTAGTCTGTCTTGGAAGTGAAGAGAGTAAGTAGATATTTGCTTGGATAGAAGATTTTCTGTATGTTTTGCTTTTGAAGTTCCTTGAGAGGTTGTTTGAAGGTTGAGGGAGAAGCCAGAATTGGGGAATATTTTGTGCCTAAGAAGTTTATATTTTTTACCATGTGTTTGATACATTCTTTTTCAGAGACTCTTCAAAGTATTCAAAGCAGTTTTCAGTGTCATTGGAAATCCATCTGTGTGTACAAACAATATACACTTATGGAGTGCTGCTAGAGTTTTAATGCTTTTTGTATTTTAATTTATAAACACTTAAAAATTTTACATAGTTTTAAAATGGATGCTAATAAACATTTGTATAAATTTTATGGTATGCAGAGCACATGCATATATTTCTTTTAATTTTAGCATTTGTTTTTGCTATTAAACTTCATTTTTGGTACTAGAAGGGATTTGAGTGGATGCTGAGTTTGTGCTGAGTCAAGCTAGTGAGAAATAGAGGAGGAGGCTTTGTTTATTATCTCTAGAATTAGATATAAGCTATAGTACATTTGATGGAAGATGCTCAGAAAATTTCTGTGAAAACAAATTCATCTCTCCTTTTGTAATATAGAAGATAACTTTTCTCTTTTGAATATTAAGAAATGATATGCAGATGACCTTTGGTATCCATGAAAGATTGGTTCCAAGAATCTACCCCCCACCCCCAGAAGATATCAAAGTCTGCAGATCCTCAAGTCCCTTATAGAAGATGTTTATAACTGACAAACATCTCCCAGCATATTCTAGATTATTTATAATATCTACTGCATTGTAGATGCTATGTAAATAGTTGTTGTAGTGTTGTTTTTTTAAAAGAATAATGACCAAAAAAGTCGGTTCAATACAGCTGCAGCTTATTTTTCCCCAAATATTTTTGATCTTGGCTTGTTGAATTTGTGGTTGCAGAACTCTCATATTCAGAGGATCAACTGTATTCAAAAGAAAAGTTCTATATGATTAAACCTTACACTTATATAGCACTTCTCTTTCCTGCTTCATATAAAACTGTTGCATTGTAATCTGTTTTTTCAGATTTTTAGAGCCAGATTGCATGGATTTTAGAGAATAGTGAATAATTCAAATAACTGAACTTTATTCCTAGAAGAACTTAATGTTCTTCTACAAAGTTAATCACCACTTACTTTCCCCTCTTCTCCAAAGTAGGGGAAAGGAAAGAGAATTGTGTTAATATTGCCTTCCTTTTTATATGTTACCGTGTTTGAAATTAAGATGCTTTCTTCTGCTTGTTGTGAATAAATGTGTATAAAATCTGGAGAATAGAGATTTCTTTCTCAAAATAGTCTCTATTCAGAAATGAATACTTCTCTGCATCTACCTTTTCTACTTAATCCTATAATACTTCATAAATTCTGAGGAAAAAATAATTGTTTACCTGGAGCTACAGGATAGTGACATGTGGGAGGGACAGTAACAGTAGGATCTTAAGTTTTATAAAATCTTAAGAACTGCTGGGGCTATAGCTCAGTGGTAGAGTGCTTGGGTTCAAACCTCACCACTAAAATATAAATGAATAGAAATAAATGGAAATTTAAAATTTCAAGAACTGATTAATGGAAATTTAAAGCAGAATATCTTTACACTTGGATATAGAGCATCTTTCTCATTTATTCATTCACATATTAATGAAAACTCAAGCTAATATCTAAATAATTTATCAGACGTATGATTTCAAAAAAATTTTAAAAAGAATATTCATATTTTTAAAAACCATAACTGAATATATTTCCTGATAAAAGCTCTCCAAATAAGTATTTGAAGCATAATAGAACTAAAAAGAGAAGACCAGCAAATTTGCCAGATTTCCCTATTTTGCTTGCTTATTAGCAGGATAAATTGTTTTGCTATAGTAAATGTCTTTAGAAGATTGTAAATAATATGAAAAGGGTTTTTATTTTCTTACATTGAATTTTTTAAAATTGGATTCAGTCTTGATTGATTAAAGAATAAAAGTACTTCAAAAATTATGTAGGAAAGAAAAGTATCTTTAAGTGTTTGGTGTTATGTAATAGAACTGTTTACTAATGCAACATCATCTTTTTGTTCTTAGAATTTACTCGTGTCAATATGGGTGTTCATAAAGCATTACAAATATTAAGGAACAAAGTGGACTTGCAGCATTTCTGTGGATATATCACCATGTTGAATTCTTCTAGCCAACTTGCAAGTAGAAAACTCAGTGATGCTTCTGATGAGAGAGGTTAGCTAAGAATTGAGTTCTTTGAATTAAGATAACTGGTTTTAACACAATCTTAATATATAAAAAGCAGCAGACCTTTATGTGAATGTTGAATTGGTTAATGATATTCTGGATCATTATTTGGACAAACTTCAGTTGTTTAAGTGGAGAAAACTCCAAGGTGCAAAATTAAAGAAGTGATGCTCTCAGGTTGGAATACAGGATGGCTGTTGGGCTTTAGTCCCTTACTGTCAGATCTGTGTTTATAGGCTTTGAATTAAGTTAGCCTCGGTGGGTGATGTTTCGAAATTCAAGCTATTTTGTAAAAACATTTTTAAAATTGACTTCGTTGTTAGTTTCCAAGTTCTGTGATTTGGATTTTAGAAGTATCTCTTATAATTATTTCTTTCCGTCTCTCTTCTTTTTTAATTCTCTGTAATTGCCAATCTAGTCTGGTTCTTGATGCCATAAACCTGTATTACACCATTTCCTGCTTAGCCTTCCTGTCCTATTTATATCTCCAATCTTTCTTGCATATTAACACCAGCTTATTATGCTATATTCTTTCTTTTTAATCTAAAAATCCATTTTCAAATCACCTTCTCCTGCTTACTGTTGTTTTTATGCTTTTATAATATTGGCTTGTATCTGGCTTTGGTTGCCATGGTGCCAGCTCTAGTCCATTCACTCTATAAGACCTTTCAATTCAAGTGTCTCTTATGGTTGAATCTATTTAATTTAGTTTGAAATTTTGAGAAAATTTGATTGATTGCTACCCATCCAGATGTCTCCCCTTGAGTTAGATATCTACTTCTGATCTATTATCTTTTGCCAAAGGAGTTGACATGCTTTCAACTACTGATTGCCAAATATTGCATGGGCATTTTCCAGAGAAGAGGGCTTAGTCATTTCAGAGCTGACATTTTTTATGTCATTCATTTCACAAAACATGTAAGCAATAAATAACCTGTTTAAGAGCTGGAGATCTTATTTTAAGTGGTAAGTGAGAAGTTAAAAGACTCATGGGGGGACTGCTTAGAGGGCTGGCAGGAGTCAGAGAAGGTGTATTTCAGCCCAAGGTGTATTTTGAGCCATCAGGGAAGGTCTGTTAGAGTAGGGATAGTTGGAACTGAACTTTGAATTTTTTTGGGGGGGGGCGGGAGGTGGCAGCCTTTCAGGCAGAGGGAATTAGAAAACAATAGTACCTTATTTTGGCCAAAAGAAAAGATTTGTTGGAGAAGAATAGAGAAGTAGGTCAGATGTAGGAGGAACTTATAAGCTAAAAGATGCAGGGAGTCTTAAAAAGAATTTTGAAGATGACTAATGTAATCAGATAACTCCACAGGTATGAAAATGACTAAGTGACCTATGTGAAAATCTTATGTTCTGCTTTTTGAATTTTGGTTTCTTTAGGTCAGGGTTTCTTACCTTGGCATGGATTGCATTTTAAGCTGGATAATTCTTTGTGGTGGGGGTTGTATATGGTAGGATGTTTAGCATCCATGGGTATCTACAGCATTGCTCCCATTGGGGATGGCCATGCTTGGCTCCAGACATTGATGTTTTACAGTGTTCTCTTGGTTCAGAACCCCGACTTTAGACTAGTGATTCTTCATTCTTTCTCATCACCATGTCTATTGCCTGAAGTCGTCTTCTTTTTTTTTTTTTTTGAGACAGAATTTTTTTAATATTTATTTTTCAGTTTTCGGTGGACACAACATCTTTATTTTATTTTATGTAGTGCTGAGGATTGAACCCAGTGCCCCACGCATGCCAGGCGAGCGCATTACCGCTTGAGCCACATCCTCAGCCCTTGCCTGAAGTCTTCTTTATGTTAGGACTGACTTATTGACAACTTCTGTTGACTATTAGAATCCTAATATTGTATATGGCCTTTAATTATAAGGAGATCCTGATTTGGCTTCTGGCTCAGATGTAAATGGCAGTACAGAATCATTTGAAATGGTCATTGAGGAAGCAACTGTAGATTCAGCAGTGAAACAAAACTCTGGTATGTCAAAAAAATTCTATGCAATTTTATTAAACTAATTTCTGAGGCTTAATTTTTCTGTTGAGTCACTTGTATACTATTTGTTTTATTATCCACAATGGACTTTTAAACATGAATCTTCTAAAAAACATTTTTAAATTCAAGTACTATTAAAATTATGACCTGAGAATAGTGACTTCAATTTCATTATTCTTGCTGTAAATATTTTGATTCATTCTCTCATGCAGATATCTTTATGAGGCAAAAGACTGCTTTGAACATTTGGTGAAAGTGTTGTGCCTTCTCCCTAGACATATTTACATACTCAAAAGGCATACTTTTCTGTTTCAGATATTACTTGAGTCTCTTTGAGTCCCCCTCCCTTGCCAAGCCCTTGGTGCAGATCACTGGGTGGAAGAAACCTAGGAACCTCAGATTAAAGAGCTACTGTTGCTAATATAGTACATATCAGTATCCGTGGTGTTAAGGATAAGTTTTGTATCTTTTTTAAGGTGCCACAACAGAAGCAGATCCGTGGTGTTAAGGATAAGTTTTGTATCTTTTTAAGGTGCCACAACAGAAGCAGAGTGGGTTCCTCTTGAGTTGTGCTTTGGCATTCCACTGTTCAGTTCTGAATTAAACCGGAAAGTTTGTAAGAAAATTGCCACACATGGCCTCTGTAGAAAAGAAAGGTGAGGACATGTATTCACTGTCATCCTTTCATGTACTTGATTTGAAGCTGTTCTTCTACATGAATGTAGTAATTGCTCTATGTATTTATTGATTGAATAAAGATTGCTAATTTAACGATTTTGCTATACTTTTCAGAATTAGGTTTCATTATATCACAAATTAGTTAAAAGCAAACCTGTCATGTTTTGGTTAACTATATTTAGTTACCTGGATTTGGTGAGGGAGTGGTAAAAAGGTCATACTTATAGTGGAATATGAACTTATTTAAAATATATAGATGTCTTTAGAAAATTTATCTTGTGCTCTTTTAACATATACATGCTCAAGTTATATTAATAATGATTGTCTTTTGTGGTGAAATTATGATGACTATCCCAAAATTTTTTGCTTTCTACCATTTTTTGAAGTGAACATGTATTTTTTTCCCCCCTTCTAAGAGAGCACACAGGTTTTATTTCATTAAACTCTGATTCTTTGGGAGTGTTGATAGGTGGCAGTGCTGGAAGGGATAGCAGGAAAGAATATCACCGAGACCTATTGTCACAGTGGATGACTTGGAAGGTGATAGCCACAGATCTCCCTGTTTTATTTAGGAAAACAAAATTTGATAATAATTAATTTATTTAGATGGCTTAATGTAGCTTATATCAGAAAATTGAAAGTGCTCACCTGATAATTTCAACAGCTGTCTTCTGAAAATAACATACATGAATAAAAAGTGGAAATATTGTAAGATTTTTAAGATTTTCACCAATTTACAGATTTGAAGAATATTTCATGTGGGTAGCTTGCTATGTGTTAAATCTATCAGGCTTTTCCCTAGGTCATCCTTTAATGTTTGGAAATTTGAAGTAGAGTTAGAAGTCCCTCAGAGTGCCTGCATCTTTTTATAAAGATTACACTATTACTGTCCTAATAGGCAAAAATATTATTGATGAAAATCACTGAAATTGTGTTTAAAAAATTTTAATAATTAATTAGAATGTATGTATATACATAAATGCATTTAAATTGCTGAGTTATCTTGTGAAATTTAGTTTGCCATTATATTTGTTTTGAACTTTTCTTTCCCTTTGTTTTTCAGCCTTCAAAATCTTTTGCATTCCAGTAGGAAACTCTCTCTACAAGTCCTTAACTTTGTTCACTCATTCCAGGTAACAAAAGCAATTTCTAAATGTTATCTATAGCCAGATGTGGTGGTGCACACCTGTAATCCCAGTGACCCAGGAGGCTGAGGCAGGAAGATTGCAAGTTTGAGACTAGCCTGGGAAATTTAGTGAGACCCTCTTCCCAATTAGAAAGGTCTGGTGTTGTAGTCTAGTCATAAACCACTCTTGAGTTCAGTCCCCAGAACCAAAATGAAAACCAAAATAACAGCCAAACAAATGGTATTTGTGAAAACTTTATAGTATTCATAGGACTTCTATATTTGTTTTTGAGTCTTCTCAGCAGCAGGACATGAAATAAGTACTGATTCACTAATTTTACTTTTTTAAACGAAGAGCCTTATATTCATTAAGTTCATTGACTTGCGTATTTTATTGACCAGGTCTTTGTAAACTAAATCTTGCATTGCTCCTCACCAGTGCTACGTTCTGCAGCAGTGTTTTAAGCATCTGCTGGGGCCTGCACACTGTGCCAGATGCTGGATGGGGTGAAATGCCTCTGTTTGTTGCAGCATTGGAGGCCAGTGCTGTGGATCTTGAGTCTTCCCTTAGGAAGGAAAGGTCATTCTAAACTTGATTTACAGACAGATTTTTAGAGTGAAAAATTTCTGTTCATAACATCTGATCTAGCTTAGGAAATCAGTATCTTTGGAATTTTATTTCATTCATTCATTTAGTCAATACTTGAATTTACCTTATGCCAGAGCCTTTTTCAGTGGTAGGCAAAAGTGATATATAAGATTAATGATGAATGTAGTGTTGTGTGAGACAGCAGTCAAGTAAACATTGAAATATGTAAGTAATTACAGATTCAGTAAGTACTTTGAAGGAATCAGCCTATGATGGATGGTAAAGGTAGGCCTATTTTAAAGGGTGATAAGTAATATGTAAAATGAAATCTGTAGGACAGAAAAGAGTATTCCAGTCAGAGCCTAGGAGACAGAGAGGTCCCATATCAGGAAAGTACTCAGTGCACAAGGAACAAAAGAAGGTCAGGGTGGCAGACACTTCATGAAGGAGGGCAAGTGGCAAGAGGTGAGGTGGAAGAGGAGAGCAGGGAGAGTGTGTTAAAGGATTTATATTTTATGCAAAGTGCAAAGAGAAGTGATTAAGGGCTTTGTTATTCAGGGGAGAGACGTTATTTCTGATTCAGTGTTGTAAAATGCGAATTATCATTGGAAAGGCACAAGGGTAGAAGCAAGTTCAGTTCAGAGGCTATGGTAATCTCTCAAGAGATGCTGACAGCTGAACATTCTTTTCACTGAACCAAACCAAACCAAACCAATTTTAGATGTAACTCTAATAAGGGTTTGTTTATTATGTGTGTATACTGTTTTACCAATAAACCAAGTATATTGTAAGAACACACAGAAGAGAAATTTTATAAGGATATAACAAATAGATGGAGAAATTCTGAAATTCTCTCAGTACTGTACTCAACTCCAGAGACCACTGGCCTTGGATGTGATGAATGAATAAAGTAAACTAATTTAGGATATATTCTGGAGATAGACTGGCAAAACTTAATGATGAATTTAATTTGAGAAAAAGTTTGAGGATGTGGAGGAAGGGAGCAATCAAGAACAATTTCCATATTTCTTAATTAGCTAAATGTGTAAAGAAGACTGGGAAAGAAGAGGTGGGAGACATGTGGAATGTTCAGTTAGAGACATGGTCCGTGTGGAATGCATGGGACATAGCTGAGAACACAGGTCAGATAGATGGAGGATTGAGCCTGGAGTTTGTGGGGAAGGTGGGTGAGAATATATCACTCTAAGAAACCTGGGAGTGCATGGATTGAGTTTAGTGCTGTAATAAGTTTTAGAGGTGATCTCCTACTAGGTTATACCTTGAGGTAGGTCCAGTGTTACCAAAATTAACCTCTTCTTATCCCAGTCTCATAACATGTTATTTATGTTTATTTCAAAGCATTCATTGCAGTCTGACTTGTACTTTCATTTTTGTATAGATTAATTCCTGCCATGGATTATTTTGAGCTTGTAATATGATAGATCTTTCGATCTCCTGTTGTGATTTATATTCCATGAATAGTTCTCAGCTAATCAAGATCCTTATTTCTCATTAGTTATAATTAAGTGCTTTTAATTTGGTTAAGTGGTTTTGGTAAAACTGAATTAATCTTGTTACTTGATCTTTTAGGAAGGTGCTTCAACACTGGATATTCACACAGAGCCCAATTTTTCAAGTTTGCTTTCACCGTCATCCTATGTGGATATGGGAGTTCCACTTCCTGCAAAGAACTTAATATTTAAAGATGGCATCTTATCAGAATGGAGTGGACGGTCACCTTCCTCACTTCTTATTGCTAATCTTCATTTGCAATAATTTGATTACACCATATGTTGCTCTCACACTTCCAGCCTTTTTTTTTTTCTTACTGTTAGCTTTATAGTGTCAGCTACTAAAAAGCATCCTGCTGCTGCAGTGCAATTCTTGCTTAACTAATATTAAAATTGGGGGAACATGTTCATGTTTTCTGACATGTTGTTCATTATTGCACATCTTATTGCAACAAAGTGCTTTTTAGCAGCCAGCACTGTATTTTTTACCTTGAGACAATCTGCATTTCTTTTATAATACTAATTATATACTTTATAGGCTTTATAATGACTGTTAAGTTTATAAACAGTCACTATGAATATTGCAACGGTAATTTTATATGTTAGTTTATCGGACATAAATCTTGTTTAATTTTATATTTTGTTACCGATACTTTAGGGGATCAAGGGAAGAGACATAACTCTTTCTCTGAAAAGCTTCTTGGTACTTAGAGTAGTGAAACTGTAAAACAGTAAACATCTGGTATTGAGAGGTGATATGATGGGGCATTAAGAATTCCTGTGGGTGTTTGTAAATTATGTATATCAATTGGATATTGTTGAAGGTATGTAAACAGCGGCTATGTATAACTTAACCTTGATTCATAAGGTCTTAGGCTATGACTCTTCATTGACATCTCATTAGAAGCTTTGGAAAACATTCTATTTTTAAACAGTATTTATATGTGGACTTCTGTTGTCACTCACTTTGGACTTTATATTTTCATAGAGTCTTTATGGAAAAATGGAATTTATTTTCCACTCATAGCTGAGACTGCTGCATGTTTTCACCTGATTTTTTGTTTGTTTGTTTTGTTTTGTAGCTTTACCAATGAATATTTTTGGAAATTGAATTTGATGTTTTCAAACTGAGGATTGTGAGTTTAGATTAGAATTACATACAAGAAGCTTTAAGGCTATGTCCTTGGATCAAAACACTTCATGATAAATCTATTGTGAAGGCATATTCTTAAGCAATCTGGATTTTTAAATTTCTGTTAGTAGTTTTGGAAGAAATGATAAGGAAAATTGAATAATTTCAAAGTGTTTCTTGAGTCATTGATTTAGCATCTCAAATGTTAATTAGAATAATTGGAATCACTTTTTAAAGACTTTTCAAGTTACCTTCCTTGGGAAGTTTGTGCAGTGTTATAGTTTAGCTTAGGCTCCTCTTACAGGATAATGGTTTTGCTAGTTTAAAACTGTAACCAAACTAACTGGTCAAATAACATATATCTAAAACACTTAAAATATTAGAAAATTTTGGAATGTTAAAACCAAACTTTTTGCTGATGATTTTTGTTATTTATGGAACTGATATTTGTGTATTTAACATACTTCTGGAAATATATGCCTTTCTTAAAATTGTTAACCATGCATTTAATACCATGGCCTATCTATAGAATTAAATATTTTGGACCAGGTTACCTATGGCACAGTCTTGCTGTGTTTGGGGTAAATACCATAATGTTTAATTTTCTACTTTGACTTCTAGAAGATAGAAACCATGTCTGTGTTTTGTGCGTCTATAAAAGGAGAACTACATACTAATATTAAAATAATTTCTTATGACTGTGAATCACTCATTTATTTTTCCAGTAATTGATATTGTACATTCCTAGTGCTATTAGTTATGTATGTATGTATGTATGTATGTATGTATGTAACTTTTAGAGTTTCAACTGAAAGTTGTAAGTATTTCTTTTGATCAGGGCTCCTTAATCTCATTTTAATGTGTTTGAATTAACTGTAGTTATTTATTTTTGTGTTAACCATCTAAGCCAACTGTAATGACATGTACACTAATAAAGAATTGAAAGTTTGTAGTTGTTGACATTGAACCCAGTTGTTGCTGAGTTGAAAGCTTAAAATATGGGAGTAATTTGCTGCTATACTTCCTTTGAGAGAGAATGGAGAGAGAAGTAGAACCTAATAATGATCATGAACTTCAGGGAAAGTACTTGAGAGGATACGGGGTCCACTCTGGTTTCTTGTGTTCAGTGAGGACGGTGATCATCTGATTCCCAGCTGAAGACCTCTCATACTCTTTCAGAGAGAGAATTTGCATTTTTAGAGCTGTTAGCAAAATGTGAAATGCTGATGTTCCTGCTTAGCTGTATGAATGTAGCTTTGTTTCATTTATACATTGATTCATGTAAAGATACATCTCCTAAGTCTTATAAATGTTGATCCAGTTCAACAAAAAAGTAAACTTAAAATAATATAGACTTTGTTATTTGCCAAAGAAGATTCTTGAAAAATTTGTATCCTTTTTTTTTTTTTTTTTTTTACAAATGTTTAAAGTAATTTCATTTGGCTTCATGCCACCTCCCCTCCTTTTCTCCCCTGCCCTTTACTGCCTCATGAACCATGGCAAACATTCTTTAGAAAACGACAACGAAAATAGGGACTATCAAAAAGGGAATAGAACTTACTAGGGGAACAGTTTCACCTCTCCAGTGGGTCTAAAGAAATGCAACTTTATGTCACTTAAAAAATGCAATTGTCTGATTTCCTTATCTTCTTTCCTTTTTAAAGTCTGTATCAGATGATTTTTTTCATTTGTTTTCTGGGGAAATACCAGTTTCTTTTATGTTTGTTTTCTCTGCTATTCACGTTCCTTTTTTTATGTTTAGTGTTTCAGAAACAGATTGTATTAAAAGATTTTAAAGTACCAAAACTGTAATAGTACAGTGGATTGTTTTCTGTTATGTTAATCTTATACAATGAAATGTATAAAGTGTTGTCAATTTGATTATTGACATATATAACATGTTTACAAATAAACTGTGGTGTTGATCAACTTGCTGTGAAGATGTATATAATCTTATGTAAGTTCCTTTCTTAAATATAGCCAAGCTGCCTATATCTTAATAACTTTTATTTTGTACCAATTTCAGTAGATTTTTGTACCCTTCCCTGAGCTTCCTCTAACATTAACACCTTATGTAAACAACAGCACAATTGGCAAAACTCAAAAGGTAACATGGCATTGAGTAAGCTACAGGCTTTACTGGCTCCTACCAGTTTCTCCACTAATGTCAGTCTCTTGCTCCAAGGTCCAGGCCAGGATGCCTTGTTGGACCTCCTTTTTCCTAACATGACAGTTCCTGGGAAGAGTACTGATGAGCTGCCTGGGCTTCTTCGTCAGTGTGATTTCTCAGTGTGTTTTCTCATGACAAGCTTGATGTTTTGCCAGAGGTGATGTGCCCATCATCTCTGTATGCCATGTCAAGGGAGCAGTGATGTTAATATGTGTTACTGGTGATGTTCCTTCATTGGTTAAAATGGTGACTGCCAGCTTTTTACCACCGAAAGTTAACTATTCCCCCCGCCCCCCCCCTTCATACTCTGTTCTTTGGAAGATGGTCACTAAGTCAGGCCTGTTGAGAGCCACAGCCAAAGGGGCCCCAGCAAACTTCCAGCTGCCGGCTGATGATCCAGCTGCCAGCAAACTTCCAGTTGCCGGCTGATGATTGGCTCACAGTGGCCCCAGCAACATCTAGCTGATTGGCTCCTCTGCGGTGATGTTCATTGGGCTGTTTCCCTGCCCTTCAGACTGCCAGCTGATGATTGGCTCACAGCGGCCCCAGCAACATCTAGCTGATTGGCTCCTCCACGGAGCTGCTCATTGGGGGACTTCTTTGGCTCCGCCCACGCGACCCAGCCAATCGGCCTCAAGAGCAGGAGGATTGTGGGAGGTTGAGAGGCTGGTGTTGTGGGGAGAGGCTTGTGGAAGCCGGTGGTGGCAGTTGGGCTCTGAGGGTTTTTTCCCTGGAGCTGTTTTGTTTGGCGTTTGTAGTTCTAAAAATAAAGTTAGTTTCTTTTTGACAAGTGGCTCCTGATTTGTGCCAAGCCAGACTTCGGCACAGGCCCACACTGAAGATGAAGGAAATTTAGCTCCACTTCCTGGAGGGGAAATATTTATATATATTATTTAGAATACTTTAAAAAAATATATTTTAGTTGTAGTTGGACACAATACCTTTATTTTATCAACTTGCTGTGAAGATGTGTATAATTTTTACTTATGTGGTGCTGAGGATTGAACCCAGCGCCTCACACATGCTAGGCAAGTGCTCTACCACTGAGCCACAGTCCCAGTCCCTAGAATACTTCTTTAAAGAAAATATATTTCTTCTGTTTTAAAATTTATTTGATCATTTAATTTGTATGAGCTTATGGCTATTTTTTTTTTGTCCTTGGGTTAAAATGCAGTACTATTGTCATTCTATTTGTTATGCAGATTGTTTCAGTTTTGACCACAGGAGCTCTTGAGGTTGGCTCCTAAATTTTTTAAACATAACTCTCCCTGCTCCCTGGTGTTTTTTTTTTCCTAACCATCTTCCTTCTGGTACCAGCCCTAGAATTAGCTGTTTCTTTGGAGATCTTTGGTTCCTTTTATTGGAAACTTATTTAGAAAGGAAGATCTGAGTAATGGGTGCACTTAGTGCTATTGCCCTGTTATTGCTTCTAGGCCTTCTCAGTGAGTTTAACTAGGAAATAACAATATATATTCACTAGCCAGTATATTGGCACACATCTCTGTAATTATAAGTTCAAGATATACTTATTAGTATCTAAATTAAACACAAGATTATGCTGACCATAATCCAGTACCTCAAGTTTCATTCTAGCTTTACCTCTTTTCTTATTTCTTTGTCCAAGAGTAAAAAACTTGGCTCCTTTTAGCTACAATTTATATACTTTAGAATACTTAAATTGTACCTCTGTGAGAAAGATGATGATCAAATATAGCATTTAATTTTTTTTTTTTTTCAGGAGTTCAGGGTTCATTAACCTTATAGTATCTGGCCCAGACACCATTTTCCCAAGTAACTTGATTTGGTTCCTTTTATTCCCCACTCCCTCCATTTAGGTCCCACATTCATGAAACAGATTCATTGGTTACACTATGTGTTCCATTTGGGATCCCCTGACAGTTGATCTTATTTATTCATATGGTAAAATTCATTCTTCATGGGCTTTGACAACTTCTGAGTTGTGTCTTAACACCCAAGTACAGTACCAGACAATTTTTATACAGTTACTGAACAGATTCATCATCCTAGAAAGTCCCCTTTGTACACAAACTCTCCCCCAACCCCTGGCAACTACTTACTTGTTTTCCTATGCTACAGTTTTGCCTTTCCAGAATGTTTAGCCTCTTGTATAGCAAGATACATTTTAAATTTATCTCTTTTATGAATCAGTTGCTTATCCTCTGTTGCTGCATACTCCAACCTACAGATATATTAAGGTTTATCACTTGATATTCATGATGGGACTTTTTTTAGATAAATACCTAGGAGTGGGATTGCTGAGTCATTTGGTAAGTGTATATTTAACTGTGTAGAAAACTGCCAAACCATTCTCAAAGCAACTATCATTTTGCCTCTCATTAGTAGTGAATGAGTGTTCCTGTTGCAGTAGTATCTCATTGTGGTTGAAATGATGTTGCGTATCTTTTTTATACTTATTTGCCATCCATGTATCTTCTTTCATGAATTGTCTATATGGATTGTTTGCTTATATTTTTAAAATTGTGTTGTTCCAGGTGCAGTGGTACACATCTGTAATCCTGGCTACTCAGGAAAATGAGGCAGGAGGATCACCAAGTTTAAGACCCCTTGGGGCAACTTAGATTCTATCTCAAAACAAAATGAGGTAGGCATGTAGCTCAATGGTAGAACACTTGCTTAGAATTATCAAAGCCTGGGCTTAATCCCCAGTACCACCACCACTACTAAAAAAAAAAAAAAAAAAAAAGGGTTGTTAAATTGTTGACTATTAGGAATTCAATATATGTTGTGAAAAAGAGTCCTTAATAGGTATGTGTTTTTCAAATATTTACGTCCAGTCTGGATTGCCTTTAAATTCACTTAATAGTCCTATAGTCATATATATAGTTAGTGTCTTTTGAAGAACAAATATTATTCATCACCATACCCAAGACCATATGGATTTCCCCCAAGTTTTCTTCTAAAAGTCTTTAGGTCTTAGATCATTTTACACTAATTTTTGTAAATGCTGTGAAGTATGTATTGAGGTTTATTTTTTTGCATAGGGACATCTAATTGATACAGCATCATTTCTCAAAGAGGCGCTCTCCTTCATTGAATCGCCTTTGTCAAAGGCCACTGGACAAGTCTGTGGAGACAAAGTAGATTGGTGGTTACCCACGGGTTGGAATAGGGAAATGGTGACTGTAAATGGGGCATAAAACATATTTTTGGAGTGATAGTATTCTGTAATATTCTTTAGCATTCTGTAGTTTTTGTTTAGAGGTCTTTTACCTCTTGTGTTAGATTGATTCCCAAGTATTTTATTTTATTTTTTATTTTTGAGACTATTGTGATGGGATAGTTTTCCTAATTTCTCTTTCAGCTGACTCATCATTGGTGTATAAGAATTCAATTGATTAATGGGTATTGATTTTATATCCTGCTACTTTGCTGAATTCATGAGTTCTAGAAGTTTTCTGGTGGAATTTTTTTTGGCTTTCTAAATCTAGGATCATGTTCAGTAGGTTAGGTGTATTCAGCGCATTTTTAACATAGAGTATTTTTAATTTATGGTGAGTTTTTTGGGACATAACCCCATTGTAATGGAAAAGATATACAGAGAAATTGGTACCAAATACATGCTATATTAATACAAGACAAAGTAGACCTGAAGACAAACAGGGGTGAACAATCTTCCAAGTATAACAAAGCCTGTTTTTTCGTTTATTTATTTATTTTAACTGTTGGGGGTTGGGTTTTCTAGGAGGCAGAAGCTGAGAGGGAGTGTAGGAAGCCTTATGATACCTGGGAGTGGGATTGGTGGGGAGCTGTCAGTCCACCATGTGCACCTGTCAGGCCAGTGAGCGTTTGCCTGGTGGAGGATTCCTGGGGCTGGGGCGGTGGGCAGAATGGCCAGACTCCTCATTGGCTGCCTTTCTTTCCTCCTTTTTCCTCAGGAGACAACCACTGTGGTGGTGGGTATTCTGGGTGGGACATTGTGGGCAAGTCAGTGTGCACGTGGGCACACCCTTGTCTGTCTGTCTTCCACTTGGTTTGAGTGGCCATCTTGTTCTTGTCTCTCTTGGATATTCTTTCTTCTTGCCTGGCCATTGGCTAGGGACTGCCCTGAGAAGACTGTGGCCCAGGCTAAAAACTGAGGCCAGCCCTGAAGGAACTGACAGCAGGAGCCTGCCAGAGAGTCACCCTTTTTGCAGTTGGACAGCACATCCATTTTTGAAGGGCAACTCAGGGATATGTCTCCGTGCCTGCTGCACTTTCTGTAGGAAAACCCCTGTCGAGAAGAAAAGACTGTGGAAAGGTGGACAAATGTATGAATAGACAGTTCATAGAAAAAGAAGTGTAATGGCCAACTGAAAAATCAGTTCATCATTCAGTGGTGAGTAGAAGTAATGGTGTCATTTCTGGGCGAAAGATTGAATTGCCAGTGCAGGATCCTCTAGAACTCTCCTTTCCCTCTAGCGAGGTAGCTGGTAACATTCAAGATGACAGTGCTCCATCTGGGGCCACAATGAGTGGCCACCCCTCCCATTGGCCTGTGCTGGACATGCCATGTGCAGGGGACCTGTGATGGCCTACTGGGAAGAAATACCCTCGGTCACCTACTTTTTCCACAGACACATTTATTGTGAGGCTAGCTATTCTTCATTTACATCAACAAAATAATGTATCACAGCAGATGGAATGCAGAAGTAGGGGAGAATCCAGTGGTAAAACATGAAAAAATTTGCAAAGATTGAGAACAATGCCGTTCTTTTCATTAAGTTATTTTTGCTTTGGG